GGAGAAGTACAATTTATTCTCTTTACAAAACCTAAAATAAATCCAGAAAAATGTAGGCTGTGGATTGTTCCTAATGTAATGTTAGTTAGCTAACGCTAGCTAACTTCCTACTGAAATGTAATGTAAGGGTCAATTGTCTGCAGAGATTGGCAGGAAAACCTCCAAACAGTGGGAGGGAATGTCACACAATGTACAGTTGATAGCTGCAGCATAATAACGTATATTATCCAGGTAAAAAAGCCTACCTCAAAATAAATCTGTAAACTATATTAAGAATATTTTCAGTGCTTTGCCTTGCTGTCAGACAGCCATTTCCATTATATAGTGTGCTGCCAAGTTGCGCTTATGTGTAGGAATACGGAAGTTCAACAGTTGAGAAACTATAGTCCCAAAGGAAAGGGCATTTATTTTTTATTGGCACTAACCACAGAAATCGCATATTCATAAGCCACACAGCACACTTTATTTTATCTGTCTACTAGGACTGCAAATTAGCTGCACGTCTGACTGAGCTAACCAGCCATTATGACCTGATATAAAATATGCTGCTCCTTTTTTTATTTTTGAGTATGCGTTCAACAGGTGGAGAGTTGTCTTTATTCTTACACATTGCACCTTTAAAAAAGTAGAAGTTTTTCAGAACACCTAATCCTTCAGTTTGTCAGAAACATTAAAAATCACCAAATCTGGATATATATGTTTTTTAATGACTGAACTAGAAGCGTATGAAAAATTATTAAAAGTAACTACTAACTAAAGCTGTCAGAGCTGCCTCTGAGATGTAGAGTAGAAATATAAAGTAAGTGTATGTTATTTTAAATTCATACTGGCATGTAAAAATATGGCATTTTCATTTTGCACAAACCCTACAGTGTGCCTTGTATCATTTTTGAAGGAGACTTGCATTTTAGATTTTTGATTGAGACCATGTTCCTCCAACGCAATGAGCCCTTCAAAGTACCTCAAATTTGTACTCAAGTACAGTGCTTGAGTAAATGTACTTCCACCAAGGCAGTTGACAGCTTGGCAACATGGAAGTATAGCTATTAGTTTAAAAGCTATCTATTACTAATGTAACCAACAGAAAACTGATTTAATCTGCACTTAGACCACCATGTGCGCCCGATCAGGCGAGAAACTCACTCAAGGATATTGTGTCATCCAACTTGCCTGCGGCTTTAACTCGCTCTTAATGCTCCCACTGTTAGCCAAATATTAAACTCAGCGTGAGCTCCCCGAGGCACGTCAGACCAGCATGCCCTGAAGCGCAGAGAGACCACCAGAACAGAGCTGAGACCAGACTACGGGTACACAGGAAGTGGATTTTAAGCTCTAACACACACACACACACACACACACACACACACACACACACACATTGCAGCTTGGTGGAGACCAAAACTTGAGCGTCACAGCAGCACAGGTGTCATACAGGTAATAATCCTGAGAACAAGGACAGTGTGAAACAAAAAAAAATGTGTGTGTGTGTGTGTGTATTGTGAGTGTTGTTCTCAGTATGTGTGTGTTCTCGTGGCAGGCCGTAGTTGAGTCAGACACTTGGCCTCTGATTTCATCACGTCGGTTATGAAAGAGACAGTAAAGTTTAACACACTCACGCACACAGTACACACACACAGTACAAACACACACACACACACATAGTGTTCCTCCTCCTCTGTTTCTTCAATATTTCATCATGTGGCGTAAAAACACACTAACCATGTGGAGATAACCTGCAGTGTGTGTGTGTAAAACCAGGTCAGTCAAGCTCTTTACCTGTCACTTGGAATCTGTCCAATCAGAGCAGGGCTGACTACACACACACACACACACACACACACACAGGTAATCTACAAGAATGTAGAGCAGCATATGTCTGGGATTAATGGGCAGATTCCTTCACATGGACGTCTGGACATCTAAGAGTTATAAGTGTCTTTAAATCATTCCGGCTGTGAGGGAATCTCTCTCTAACATGACTACGTTGTAAGACAACCACAGTCCTCCTGTAAATTCAGTTCAAGCAATTTTGAGTTAAACAAATTAAACAGAAATTTAAGTTTTGGTGCGATAACAAGTGTGTCCCAGCTGTGTCCGGGTGTGCACATCAGCTTTTAGTGTCCCATTGAAACAGTTTCTTTTGTCATCTGTACTACTCACTTTCTGTATATGGTTGAGTTATCGTGCATGAATGATACATTTGTAAATTGCCCCGCAACAGGACTTGACACAAAGTTGGTGGGAGTTGTCGGAAAGCTGGTCTCTCGAAAATCAAGCTTTTCCACTTAGTACTCCTCCAGAGGCCTGGAGGGGGTGGCCTAGGGAACCAGGGCAAAATACAATCCTGAGGGACTGATGGCCATGCTGGAAGAGGCTCTGTGTAGCAATGACCTGTGGGGGGGATGGCCGAGGTAGGGGGTCCCAGGGGCTCCGTGTTGCCCCCCTGCACCAAGTGATGTTTGGCCAAGAGGAAGTGGGCAAGGGTTGGAAGGCACAGACATCCGGGAGATGTGCATCAGAGACAGACGTCGATGCCCCCTGGGACTCCCTCCAGCGCTTCTGGGCCCAGGATGGACATCAGTCTCTCCTCTCCAGGAGTAAGAGGAGGCAGACTGGTGCTCCCATCACAAGTCCTCTCTTGTTCCGTCCTTAATGCTGTTGCTTTGCGATTAGTGATACTGTCGAAGTCACGCCATTTAGCCCTCACATCCGCCGTCCTCTTCCAGCCTTTTGTCTATGATTTGTTGTCAAGTGTTTTCTTTTGAGCATTTGTTATAGTATTTCTCAACTTTGAAAACAATATTATTTACTGTTGGTCAACCTTGTTGCTGTAAATTGTGGCTTTGTGCCATTTTTAGCACTGATGGCCTATAGGACATCTGTGTAATTCAGCAAGTGTTTTCTCACAGATTACCCACCTGTTCACAATTACTTAATTTACTATGAGTCATCTGGAGGTAAAAGGACAAAACAGAGCTTGAAAAAGACAAGACTTTTAAAATTCCCTTCACGTGTATGTGTGTACATTTCTAGGCATTCTCTAGTCTTGATTACAAACATATATAAAAAGAGACAGCATAAAATTCAATAAAGTAGCCTACTTTAATGAATCAATCCCTGAGAGCTATCGTGGCCATTATGACAAAGATAAAAAGAACACACGGGTTAGAAACCCACGATTGTTTGATCAATAGATTACATCCACCATAGCAGAGCGTCATGCTCACCCATCGTCTCATTGAGCTATTATCAGATCTTGTTAAATACTATTAGCTTGATATTCATAACAGTGTTATAGTGTTGAAAAGAAGATATTTGATTAAACCTATTTTACTAAATGTTTGGTAACAGTTAATAGTTATTTTCTTCTTCTAAAGATTTTGTCTATTATTGCTATTGCTATAAGAAAGTTATATAATTAGGCTATATAAAATTATTAGGCTATATATTATTTATTTTGTGGATTTTCTCAATATTATTGTTGATTTTATTGTTATTGCTGGTATTCAACTACAATATGAAAAGCTGTAATAATAATTTAGTATAATAATGCAACCTAAGCTTCCCACGCTAAAAGTCAGACTGAACACATTTGTAAACATTGTAGTCTGAACTATGTTGTTTCAAACTAACATCTTTCTAACCACTAAGGAACGAAAAAGGTATGTCACTTTTGGGAAACCATCGTAATTCAGATGTTGTTTAGTTTAACGAAGCATCGTACCATGATAGTTCAATGCTAACTTCCATCGTTGTACAGATAACGCACGCCAGGTCGGCACGTGTCTGTGAATTGGTGAATGTTTGGAAGAAAACTGCTTTATAAATGCGGTCCATTTACCATCACTTACGATTAATATTTTAATGATGATCAAATGCAAAGTGATGATTTTTTAATGCAAAGTGGTGATTTTTTAATGATATAGGCCTAAAACGCTTCTGTCACAGATGTGAATGTACCTGCAGTTTATTTAATATAATCTGTACTGGAAGAGGAGTCAGAGGAGCTGAAATGTTTCACACGTGTTTGTGGATGTGGAACAAACTCAGAATGAGCGCAGCAGGTGAACGTCTGCTGAGCCTCCAACCACAGATTGAATACAGATTAAGGTCAAAGGGTAATGGTCAGCATGTAGCTGCAGCTCTGCAGGTCAGCTGTCCACCTGAATGAGTTCTCAAACAAGACTGTTTGGAATTGCAGAATGATGTACCATTCATACTAAGTATGACATCAAACTGAATAAGTACTTGTATGTAGTGCATAGTATGTGGATATTGTGTACGCGAAAAATGCCTGGATGTATACTAGATTAGGAAGACAGACCTTCCTGAACATACTCAACCACCCCATAATGCATTGCATCTCTTCAGACTGACCAATGGCGATCACGTGATTCAGTCACACCCTGCCCACAGTGTCATTTTATATTAATCTTCCATATATAAAAACAAGCAGCTGTGGTGTAAAATTAAATCTGTTGCAGCTGTTGACATCATTACCGTGCTGCCTCTATGATACTTTTATATACCCCCCTTCTCATACTGTAAACAGAGACATACACTCACTTTTTTTCAGAGAGTTGTCTGCTGCTTAACATAACTTTCTACTGGAACAATATTAGTTTGCAAAAAGTCTCTTACAGGAATTATTTTTGTAATAACAACAAACAGGTCTGATAGAAAAGCGTCCACATCTTACCTCAACATACTACCTTAGAAAATACAATATAACGTGTGTTATTTGGAAGAGCGTTCTGTAAAAACTCTTTAGAAACTGTAAATCAAGTTATATGTAACTGGTAGTATAGTTCTCACTGTCATTACAAGAAAGCTGTCAAAAATTTAAATTGCCTAAATATTAACTATGCATTCTGTTCACTGCCTGTAATATAAGCTGATATGTTCAATAAGAAATCATATCGAAACTGATCTGCTTTCTGACGAATGATCGGCTCTGGATTGCAACATCGAGGCTCCGCCCCCCACTGGATGACGACACCGCGGGAGGAAACGTTACCAAAGAGAGTCGGTGCGGGACCTCAGTCCGGCTTAAGTTCTGGAGACCAACAGGGTATGAAGAGACCAGAGTCCTGGGGGTCAGACTGGATCTAAAACCGGATCGAGACACGGAAATTGTTTTACTTTAAACTCGGACAGAAGGACTCGGTTTGACTCGGCTTTGTTCGCTTCAGCTCCGGATATATAAAAAACAAGTTTCCTTTTAATCTCTAATTAAACAGTTTCGGTTTTTTTTTGTTGCTGGTTTTCACCGTCGGACTTTCATGTCATTCCGAGAGTAGAAGAAGCTTCACAACAGCTGACTGACGACACATTGCGCAACCGACACGATAATAAGGACACAAAGACGTCATCACCAGTACGGACGGTCCTCTCCAGTTCTCCCATTATCACCGCTGCTGCTTCCACTCGGAGCTCAAAACTTAACAAGAAAACCTTTTGTTTTTTACGTCTTAGGCAACTTCTGCTCCACATACAGACGGGCAAAGGCCATCAGCACCTTGTTGACTCAACTGGGTCCTTACTGGATCTACTGGTTTCCTGTTGACATACAGTCCGGACCAGTCTGTCTGTCTGAAGTGCACAAGGTAAGAAACTGACCTGAGAGAATATTCAAGTATGCTACTACAAGGTCGTTCATTCAGAATTTTACTTAAGTAAAAAATACACAAGTTTTATCAGCAAAGCGTAGCCTAACATCCTCATTATGCAGAGTGGCCTCTTTCACAGTGTTATATTGATTTTTTTGGATGACTTACACAGATGCAATGACGTGTAAACAGCATCCTTATGGTAAACCTGGTAACAATTGTTAAAAAGTTCAGGTTTTGTGTTCAGTCTGGTGTTGTAATCTAAATGTGGAGTAAAAAGGGCAATATTTACCTCTGATATGTGGTGATGTGTAAAGTAGCATAAAATGAAAATACTCAAGCAAAATATCTCTAAATTGTAAAAGTGCAGTACTTGAGTAGCCTACACATCCTTTGTTGTTTTACATCACAGCAGCAGCTTGTCCAGTCCAGTTTCTAAAACTCTGACATAGATTATAATCAAAACAAACTTTAAGTACCAAAATTCATTCTTGACCTTAATGAATCTACAATGGAGTTAGCCCAGTTGTCATGGAGATGAGTTTGTTGGCATGTGAGCTCCAAAGCTCGAAAGGTTTTTAACTTTTAGGACTTCCTGTCTTAAAATGAATTTGAGAATTTTATCTGATTTGATGAACACTGTGTTCTGAGGTTGAAAGTTCTGGAAAAAGCTTGCAAGTGGACCTTGAGTTGAGACTGTTTTGTCAAACTACTTCCATGGTCAAGAATAAAGTTTAACTGCGTACAGCCAACTGACTCCATGACAACGGAGCAGACTGCATCCGCTGATGAAGATGGTTGTAAAAACTGGGAAAACAACTAGTGAGTGGACCTTGAGGCATAACTTTATTTATAACAGGATAACAAGAATTGACAGATTACTTTCTAACAACCTGTGCAAATGTTTTATATTTACTTTTTTAAAAAGCACAATTATTCTGCTGTCAAACACATTTACTAACTTTAATGTAGCCTAGGTTTTCGGCAGCAGGAGAACCGTGAAAATAAACACAAATATAATAAATAATAGCAAGTAAAGAATCAGACTTGACTGCAATGACATATATTCAAATTAAAGAATAAGGAGCAAAACATGAATAATTAATAATCTTTTAAAAATAAAATGTGATCAGGGCATCTCTACTTCTGACTGAGGTCTGTGACATGTTAAAAAAAGTCAGTTGACACAGTGACCTGATTGGTCCGATCAGTAATCCATCCATGTTTACAAGAGACCAGAAAAGAAGACAAACAGTAGAGAAAATATAATGAACGATGCAATATAATAGTGTAAGAGAACGACAGGTACTGGTGATTCTACGAATACTACGGACACTACTGATGCTGACTCTTACCTGACATAGCTAATACTACCAGATACTGCAAAGATACTTCATAAAACTTCTGATACTACTTATAATACTACTGGAAATACTAATGATATAAATTCTACCGATACAGCATAACATACTGCTAAAACTGCAAAAAATACTACTAATACTACAAACAAGTTAAAAAGGGGGAGAAGAAAATATCTGAAGTAGGTAGAAAAGCTCTTGTATGAAAGTGAGTTTTAGTATCGAAACAGTTGATAAATCAATTAGTCAATCAACAAAAAAAAAATCTGCAATTTTGATAATTGATCTGTAATTTAAGGGATTTCTTTGGGCAAACTGCTAAAATAAAGTTTATTTCTTATATGCGAATATTTGCTAGTTTTAATGAATTTCTTTGGGTTTTAGACACTTGGTCGGACAGAACAATATATTTGAAGCGTGGATTTTCCATGTTTTCAACACTATATATCAAAAGACTCAATAAATTATTGAATGTATAGTAAATAATTTTTTATTTGCAGCCTTTGTAAAGTTTTAAGATGAGTTTGTAAAGATGTTAGAGAGCAATATCTTATTGAAGATAAGAGTGAAACCTTTCAGCAAGGCCTGCGTCTATGTCAGATACAGGAATAAACAGATCAGTAGAGTTCAGTGCAGTAAAACAGAGTTCAGCTGACAATGAAACATGAAGTGATGGAAAAATCTTTCACAGAGAGCTGACAACATCAAATAGCACAGATTCACACTGACATTGCCGCGGTGATGCTGTGACTCAGGGTGTTTCACCAGCGTTGGCCAACGGCATGTTTCCACATCGCGTCACCACTGTGACCTCAGGCTCAGAAAAACGTGTGTGTGTGTGTGTGTGTGTGTGTGTGTGTGTGTGTAGGTGTTGACTGTATTTAAAGCCCGTTTAAACTATAAACTGTTGTGCTCTGATGCAACGATCTGAAAGCTGAAGCATCTGTCAGCTTACAGGAAATTGCATCATGAAGCCTATAGACACGTTGACAGTGTAACATGTGAGCAGCAGAGACACTGAACACAGCGAGGTGTGATACGAATTTGAGTCTTCCTACTGTATGTGAAAATATTACTGAAGAGGGTTCAGTGGAGGGAGGGAGGCTCGGCTGTGGTGTCACCAGCAGAGGGCACTGCAGTGCAGACATGAAACCAGGAGTGAAACTAAAGTTTGTCCTTTATTCAGTCAGTTTCCAACATGACTAGCGTTAACAGTCCAGAGCTTGAAATAAACTATAACCACAACTTTAATTAAAGTTCTTATACTTAAACTGTCCATAATAAAAGTCTGTATACAGTACTTGGACTGACAGACTGAAAGTAAACTTTAAATAAAATTAAGACTTAAAAAAAATTTACCAAATGGAAATGTGAAAAAAATGTGACAAGGTGTGAAAAGGGGTCGCTTTAGTGAACCTACAGACAATCACCTGAATCTGCAGTCTGTGACGTCACCCATAGGTTTCTGAAGAGCTGTTGTGAAGCTTTCTGCTTTCGCTCCCAGCAGCCCTGGCAGGCATGATCATTGCAGTACCTGTTTGATTCTGGCTAAAGTAGGTAAAGAGCTGGAACTGAGGCGGGATGAATGATGAAATTACCTTTCTCTGTAGCTCCATCATCTGGTCAAATTTTTTTTGTTTATGACTAAATACGTGCAAAACTCATTACATTCCCAGCAGCCTCAGCTACTTTGTTTAGTGCTTTTGAGCAAATATTAACATGCCAACACCAAATTGCAAAACTAAGAAATGTTATTTTTGCACAAAGGACCAGGATATACTAGAAAATAACTAGAATGGATGATGTGTCGTTCGACCATGTTGGTGTAAATAGCTGTTCAACAGCCACACTCGGAAGCTGGGTGAAAAGAGGGAAGAGCCACATTTAAATATGGGAGAATGCACATATTCAGACAGGCTCTCCTGGAAGACATTCATAGTGCTGTTAATTCAAAAGCTGACACAGTTGGGTAAAGAATAAAGATTTCAAACCCTGCCAAGCTTTCCACACGTCTTCACGTGGCGCTGCCTCAACCAGCTTGATCCAGTCTCACATAATGTCCTGTTTTAAATGCCTCCTGCAGCTGGTTCACAGCAACATTAAAGCTGCAGTATTATAAGTATTAATAATTAACCCGATTATGTCACTTGTCTCCTCTAATCACAGATGAGCATGGGCGAGACCGCAGCCAGATCTCAGCTGTGCCTGAAGAGGCTATTGGACGAGCCCCAGGAGAATTTACCAAAATGTAAACTAGCCCGTCTGAGTCTGCACACTCCGGCCCCCGGCCTATCCCCCTGCCTCAGGCCCAGAACCCCCGCCCCCAAGTCCAATCAGAGCCAATCCCCATCCAGAGTCGGACCATACATCCTGTTTGAACGCTGCGAGGGGGAGGAGACTTACAGGGCTGAACACGCACTCACAAAGCAGCCATACACCTGCCAGGTAGAATTACCAATATTTCTGATTACTGCAAAAAAATACTACTGATACTGCAAAAATACTGCCAATACTTCCATAAATACTATAGACACTGCTTATACTTCTGAAGATACAACAAACACTGCAAATGATGGTTCTGCAAATAACTTATTACTGATACTGCTATAAATACCACTCATACTGATTTTTCTGATCCTGAAAAATTACTGGTGTTAAAAATACTTATACTACTATTACTACTGCAAGTGATATTGCTAATACTGCTGAAAATACTCAAGAAATTGCAAAATTTCATGCACACAATCAGTGCAGGTTTTAGCTATAGCAACTGTTACCATGTTACCCTAACTGTCCCGACTGGTTTCCATGGTTACAGGTGCTTCCTCTGCGTGGTTACCCGGAGCGGTTGGCTGTCTACAACCGGATCGGTCACCATGACAACATCTGCAACCTGCTGGACGTGGTGATTGGCCAGGACAGCGTGTACGTCTTCCTCCCTGGTCACCACGGCGACATGCACGCGTACGTGCGAAGCAGGAAGCGTCTAGGCGAGGAGGAGGCGGGGCATCTGTTCACTCAGATGCTGAATGCCGTGATGCACTGTCACTGCCACGGAGTCGTCCTGAGAGACCTGAAGCTCCGCAGGTTCGTCTTCACTGACAAATACAGGTGAGACTGACAAGTACTGTCATAATAATACTAATACTGTATACTATACCGGCATGTACAAACACTGCTTAAAAATACTGATTATTAACAAAAATACTGCTAAAAATAGTAATACAGACATAAATTCAGTAAATTCTACAGATACTTACACCAGTACCGCTAACACTGATACTACTTACTATGGACACTGCTAAGATTGCTAATAATACTGCTTACATCAGTAGTATCAGCAGTATATATATAATAATATAATTAGGAGTATCAATGGGATAGATGAAACCTTAAAAGGAAAAACGACTACCTCCAGTACTATTACCATAACAACTACTACTACTAATTCTATCACCAGTACTACAGATACTACTGCTGTCACTGCCGATGCATTAAGTAGATTGAAAACGTGATCTTTGTGGTTTTCTTTCTGCAGGACGCGTCTTGCCCTGCTCGGTCTCAACGACTGCATCCTCCTGCATGGTAACCTCGATGACGACTTTCTGACGGACAGACATGGCTGCCCCGCCTACGTCAGCCCCGAGCTGTTGACCAATGGTAACGGGTCTTATTCAGGCCGCGCTGCAGACATCTGGAGTCTGGGCGTGTCTCTGTACACCATGCTGATTGGACGTTACCCGTTTCAGGACACTCAGCCCGCCGCGCTGTTCACCAAGATCCGCCGCGGGGCCTTTAGCCTGCCTGATTGGCTGTCACCGCAAGTCAAGTGTCTGATTGGCTGCATGCTGAGAAAGACGCCCGCAGAGAGGCTGGAGGCGTCTGAGCTGCTGATGCACCCGTGGCTGACCAGTCCCTTCACGCCACATCACAACATGCAGAAGACTCATCACAGCTCACAAAAAACACTACAGAATAAACAAGAGGACGATGACCAGGTGGTGCCAACATGGACGAAAAAACAATAACATTCACGCTTGTACTTCTATACTTGTGAGGACCCACATTGATGTAATGCTTCCCTTAGCTCCTAACCTGTGGTGGGAGAAGTATCTTTTACTTAAGGAAAAGTAGCAGTACTACAATGTAGAAATACATTACAAATACAAATCTTATTTGAAATACAAATAAAAGCCCTGCAATCAAAATCTTACTTATTAGTACTAAATACACAGTATTGGGCAGAATGGCCCAATTCATAATCATATATATGCAACTGGATTATAATTATTGATGCATTAATGTATACATCACTACTGGGTACCTTAACCTATAATAATATATCATAATTTATTCATTGATTTATATTTTGTATTAATAATATAAATATGCAAAGTAACTAAAGCCTTCAAATACATGTAATGATGGAGTAAAAAGTACAATACTGGCTAAAACGTAGCAGAGTAGAAGTTTAACGTACTTAGTGACGACGATAAAATGGATATACTCAAGTACATGGACCTCGAAATTTAGTAAAATGTGGCAAACCACCAATGCTCCTAACATTAACCATCTCAGCTTCTTAATCCCAACCTTTTCACTTAACCTAAACCTGATTCTAACTTTAACCCTTAAACCAGTTATAAACCCTGAGAAACCTTTTGAAGAGGTGACGATCAAAAACTCTAATTGGTCCTCGCAAAGATAGACATACAAGAGTGCATGCATGCACGCACGCACACACACACACACACTACAGAGACAATCTGATCCTGGATTACTTGACCCGACCCTCAGGTGCCTTCCTCTCACTGTAGCTGTGTCTCAATTCAAGCTCCGCCTCCTTTAAACAGGGCGTGGCCCATGACAGTGGCCGCACCTTGAGGCTTGAACCTGCTCCTTGTCCTCCACAAATCAGAACAGATGGTGTGTTCAGGTGCAATTTGTCAACTTGTAAAGTGGAGAATGTCTCAGTTCCCCTTGAGCACAGCTAAATCCTAATATTATTAAACTGAGGACTTACTGACATCCTGCAGGTGCAATTTCATTGATCAATGTAATAAGGAAAATAACACCTGGTCACATGATCATCTCTGATTTAAGAAGTTGATGAAGAGTGAACACACCCTTGGTTTTAAAGTGGACTTGCAGCTTCTTTCTCTCAGTGTTTACACTTTCTGATTGCTCCCTAGAAATATATTTAGAAGGATCGGTCAGTGTTGTGAAGTCCCCAGCAACAGAATCATCTTTATGAAAACCAGAAATAACCCGGAGAGCTGCCATGATCGCTAAAAATATTTATAGGCCTGTTATCTGAAGATCAAAACTTTAAATACTTCTAAATTCTGTTTTTTTGTGGTACTTATACAAAAGGACAATTTACTCATTATTATTATTTTTAGATATAAACTGATTCATAGTTTTCTTGACATCTAATGGGTAACAATCAAAAATGGCTTTGATCAACAATCCTCCCAAAATAACAACAGTTAAATTTGATCTTGAGAAAACTATTTCTGATATGTCAACGTAACAAATCTCAGGATAAAGGATCTAAAATAAAAACCATGTGTTGCATCATAAGAAAATGAAACTGTAATCTTGAGATAACCAGACTAAAATTATTATAAGTCTTCTGTTCCCTTTGACTGAAGCTGACCGATCACGATCAGACACCCCTGCAGCCAGCTAATAGGACGACTTCTTTTGGATGCGTCATTCAGTCCACGGCTACAGCTGGAGAATAAATAAAGTTCTTTCACAAACTGTTCTGGTCCCAGCCTGATTTTTATTTAGTTTTAATTTAGGAAACATCTTATTATTGGTGTTAATTCCTGCTGCATTCTGAACACCTATAACATACAGTCAGAATAAAACCTGTCTGTACTGCCAGGGTATTTCTGTTGTTAAGAATACATTTTTTTGGATTGGAGTAGAGACCTGCCATGCCCTTTTATCACTCCTCAGCTGTTTCCTGTCCGTCACTATATGGAAAATGTCTAAAGTGTATGAAATAGTATCTAATAGTTTTACAGGTTTGGGACGATTTAAAGGCTGATCTCTCCTCCAATCACAGTTAAACCTGGGGATAGCAACGTTGGAGAACTAGCAAGAGAGCTAGATTTTGCGCAATAAGTGCATAAGTGCGTGCAGGTAGGCTAGCTAATCATTTTACTACAAAGAATACTACATTATAAATTGAAGTACTAATGTAATTTTTGAGTGGCCTTTTATTATGGCCAGCCTAAGGCCCACCTGTGCAATACCTATGCTGTCTGATTAGCATCTTGATATGCCGCACCTGTAAGGTGGATGGATTATCTCGGCAAAGGAGAAGTGCTCATTAACACAGATTGACAGATTTGTGAACAATATTTGAGAGAAATAGGCCTTTTGTGTACATAGAGAAAGTCTTAGATCTTTGAGTTCAGCTCATGACAAAAGTGTTACATTTATAATTTTGTTCAGTGTATTTAGACCATGGGGTAGTGGAGCACTTCAGCCTCTTGTGGTGAGTACACCTCATTCTGACAAAATATTTTTTTCACCTGCCGAAACACTCCCCCCCCTATGTAATGTATAGTCAGTTGCAAAATCAGAAACCCACACACTCTCCCTGCTCAGCCACTCCTCTACTTCCAGTAGTTTTCCTCCCAGGTGAGTGTTGCATCATTTAAGTGTGTGTAATCAGGTATACTTTGTCCTGGCTACCTGCAGCTCTCACAAGTTGAAAAAAAAACATCAAATGACAGTTCCTAAACTAAACAAGCCTATCTAAAAATAAGTACAGAAAGGGAAGACAATTTACGGAACCTTCATGTTTTATTGCTAAATTGAATCAGACAGCAGAACAAATTCTGCGACTATCCATCACTTCAGTCTAATCATTCGTTTCCTTCCAACATCCACTTCATCACAGAAAAGTTTTACAGAAAACTGAGTCTCTGTTCTGTCCTCGTCTCAGTTTCAATCAACAGTCAGTAAACTGTCTGTGTAATGTGTCTGCTCAGCCAATCAGGAGCCAGCATCAGTGTCCATGTCATCCGTGTCGTCGCCCTCAGAGCGGCAGACCTCTTCCAACGCCAGCTCTAAACAACAGGAAGCAGAAAACATGAGTCTTTTACTTTCAAAGTTCTGAGTGAGTTGTATTATATGGACACCAGGACATTCCCGTAAGGTGTAAAATTTAGGGCATTTCTTAAATCTTCCTGGAATGATGAAACTAAGGATGTAGTTCATGTATAAATGTCATAATAATGTATTTGTTCATACGATATTAATAACAATACTGATTACATAAAGCAGCAACACACACTGCTTACACATGGTAGCGATGCTTTAACTTTGAGAAGCTGCAGAGCTGCAGTCTCTATTCACTAGTCACTGCTGTGACACCATACATTTCCAGCTAAACTGAGGCTCATTGTTTACCATTTTCTCTCTGCCATTCACTAGTTGTGCAGAGTTGTGCATGCCTGTTCAGAATAGCATGCGGTTCTTTGAGGGTCTATTCCAAGTACTGTTTAACAGCGATATAAAATTCTTTGGGTTCACCAATGGTGATAAATGATTCAAACATCAAAGTTCAAGCACAACTCTGCACAACACCGGCGCTGCTGGTGCTCTGTCTCTCTCCCTCTTCTACCACACACTATGCCACACATGCGCACTAACACCCCCTCTATTAAAGTCTGGTTTTGGATTTATTCACCCACTTTAAAAAGGTTTATTAAAAAGTAGTTTTATGTAAAATCAGACGTTGAGCTCCACCATATAGCCAAAACGGAACAATCCTTCTTTCATTACGCCTCCACGAAGACTGAACTGTGAGATCAGGAGTCAAATCAGGCTCTGCCTATCTAATAATCAAATCTTCAACTATGCGGCCTCAACCCTAAGGATGAAAAGCTCCAACAGACAGTTAAGCAGTCTAAAAAATGCTAACTGCTAATGATAATATTCATATACATATATATTCATATGTGTTCAAATATCAACAGCCTGACAGGAGAGATGTAACCAAAACACAAGCTTAATAAATGTGGGATTTATGTTCTGATTTAATGGAAATATTTCATGTTTTACTTTTACAAGACAAAAGGCTTCAGGGGTGAGTTTGGTTGGAAACCTGCTGGCACAAAATCTGGATACTCCTGATCTGGAAAATACTTTTACAAGTACCGCCTGGTTGTCACTGCAAACGGTTTTTCAGCATTTAACTTCACAAAATGAAGTGTATGCGTGTACCCTCGCTCTCGCTCAGCTTGGGGATCTTCCTCAGGGTTTCTCGTACAGCAGGGATCACCTGGTCATACATGTGCAGCAGCGGCCTGCAGCTTTCTGAGAAGCTGCCATGATGCAGCAGCAGCCAGTGCAGCAGCAGCAGACACTCTCTGAGCAGAGATGCCGACGGGCCACGCCACCATGGCAGTGAGGGGGCGGAGCACTGCTGCGGAGGTGGGGCCAGGACTGATGTAAAAACACACAAAAAAAACAACTCTTGAGGGGTAATTCATAATTTTAGAGACAGATCACTGGGTGTAGAGAACAGCTTTAGAGATAGACTGGTGAATATTTCCGGCTTGAAATGTGACTGACCTGTTGAGTCCCTTGGCTCCTGGGTACTACGAAGATCCAACCACTGACGATGGAAAACAATCACCACTGTCTGAACCAACTGGGGGGGTGGGGGGGGGAGACTTATAAAAAGGTGCAACACAGTTTATTGTCACAATGTACAGCACAGGGTCAGAGAGTTTTACCTCAGTGTAACACTGACAGGTGCTATGCTGATTGGTAGTCCAGCTCTCTGCTCTCTGAGTCATCAGTCTGCTCAGCAAACGAATCACCTGACACACAAAAACAACAATTGCTGTTTTATTATCGTTCTCTTTGTGTGTGGAGATGTTGGATGGTGCAAAAATAAAAAAAAGAAGCCAAAGCCGGGTGAATGCCAGCTAAAGGAAGAGAGAGAGAATAAGCAACTGGGCCGGATGTTGTAGCCTGGAGCATAAGAAAACTAGATCAACTGACCCTTGACCATTGAGCCAGTTTTCCGCTGAAGATGGCCAGGAGTAACTGCTTATTGGATCTTCGAATAGTGTCTTTTTTGGTACATTTCTAAAACAGAAATTATGCTAATATTCACGACCACTTTATGCTGTCATTGACCAGTTATGTGGCGGGGTGAAAGTAGTCAACATCTTAACATTTCTCTCTCATCATTCTATATACAACTACTTCTATAGTTCAGGGAGTGCAACACAATGAATGTCTCAAAATATGCGCCCTTAGCCCCATTTGAACAATTCATGGTGTTGAGCAGGCTGTGCCAACCCGTGCTGAGGATTGGCTATCCTACGAGGGAAGGTCCCACCTACTTCCTGGGTTCCTGTGAACACGATACCGATTGATGCAGCATGCTACTGCCGGCAAATGCAGGAGCACCAGTGAAAACTGATACTCTTCTTGCACCCACAGTAGTGTGATTTATGTTAGTTTCCACTAGGGTCAGGGGTACTGTGCGCTTTGTGTTTTGGTTTTGGCAAACGCTTTAGTTAGAGAGCCTTTTGGTTTACCCTGTTTTTTTTTCCCTCCATGGTTAGAGAAGTAATCCTCCTTTTGAGGACCTCTTTTGTTATAATTGTTTGTTGATTTCCACAGCACTTGTTGATTTCCACTTTCTGTTTGAGCTCTGTTTACCTTGTTTCCAATAAACGTCCTTTCAGAAACCAAAAACGTCCCACCCCATCCAGGCTGTGATTGGTCGGTTGACAAAAAGTGAATAGTTGTACATGTTGCTCTGTGAAAAGTTGTACATGTTGAACAACAAAAGGCACCGACACAGCGAATGTTAAATGGAAGCGAGCCAAACCCAAACCTTCCTTATCTTCTCCTAGTTTTCTTATGTCTTAGCCTACTGCTTCAGCTGCAGTTGATCTCCGTCTCTGTCACAGAGTGACCGGAGCACCGGCATTTCTCTTGGTGCTCTGGTGACGAGTCAGACTATGTTGCGAACATAGACTGTATATAAAAAGGTTTTGAACAATTAGCGGCGGCGTGGTGGGAGTGGGGTTTACGGTAGGTTGTTGTCATAAAAGTTACTGTTACACTGCTCATAAAACATTTTTCTCTTTGCATGTAGGCTTTTCTGTTTTAGGGGCACATGCGAGAGCCCGGTGTGGGCGGAGATAATGAGCAGACTGCAGCGCACACACAGAAGAGTGTGTCACACACACTTTTTTTTCTATTTTATTAAATCGCACACTTAATGCGGTTATGTAATCACACATGACGACATCGCAATTGCAATTATATTAATCGTGCAGTCCTAGTAAGCAGTGTGATGCAGCCTGGAGCCTATGGATGTGTACAGATTCAGAAAAAGCTAGAAACACTTTGACTTTAGATGTAGTCCAAGAACCCCATTCAAATAGTTTGAACTATGAAACGTAAGACCATGACATCTCCACTGGGATGTTGGAATCAGCATGTTTCTACTGTGTGTGTGTGTGTGTGTGTGTTACCTGCAGGTCGAGCAGAATCCAGTCTATGTGTGTTGCCTCGTTGTCGGGTCTGGTTCTGATGAACTGGAACAACTTCAGCAAAACACACGGGTCTAAAGAAAATTGAGCAATTGAGTAAATGTTTGAAGTAGTAAGCAAAATATAGACAAATAAACATTACAAACACGAATGAGTGGTTACTTAATATATGAATTACATGAAATTACAGATGCGTTAAAGTCACCGCAGAAACAGTGCAGTAGCAGAGGTGCTCACCATGTTGAGAGCAGAGCTGCTGAACCAGTGTCTGGTGGTCGGACATGGACGTGAGGACAGACACACACTCTGAAACTGTCTGCAACCTGCTGTCTGCTGACAGACACACACACAGCACCTGCAACACACACTGCAACCTGAAAGACAGAGATAGGGACAGAGAGAGCTTATAAATTACTATTATATATATATATCAGCCTTTAAGTGTGTGTATGTACCTGTTGATGTGTGTGTCTGGCGTCTTCTCAATAAGGACACACAGAGTCTTCATGGCATGAAGGACAAGCTCCTCCCTCTGGGACCCGCCAGTGCTGCCCAGACCCGCTTCACACAGCCGCAGCACTGACTGCAGCAAGGCATTCTGGGAGTACAGACCCACACCTGCTGCAGAGTGCTCAGCCTATGACCAGAGGGAGGAAGGCAGAAGATCTGTTTAGGAAATGTTTAAATGAAAAATCTCTGTCCAGGAGGGTTAAGATTAGGAAATGTGTGTTTCTGTACCTTCTTGTCTGAAACTCCGCTTCGACTCTCCTTTGACAACACAGCCTCCACCACCTGGGAGCATCACAAAGGCCAAACGTCAGCACTGCAGATTCAGAAAATACTCAACAAGCAGATGATCATTAGCACTGTAAACTGTACACGAACACGTTATGAGAATTTCACCTCCACTTAACGGGTTTATCTTATTACTTCACCCTATGTGTGACCTTCACTGTTCAGAAGTGAAGTTCTGACTCTAAAGTCTGTTTTCACATTCATCTGCTGATAAGAAGTTTCTCTGTGCTTACCTCAAATCTCAGTTTGACACGTATGAGCAAGGTTTTGTGAAGACTAGTTTGGAGGCCCACTACAACAGTGTTTCCCATACATCGATTTACTTGTGGTGGCCCGCCACAACATCAATGCTGACCGCACATATTGGTTTTTGATTTGTTTTTTTACTCGGCCTATTTAACATTGTTTTTGATTACAAAGTTGCGTGCAGCACATATATTCGCTCAGCACCCACTCCCGCTCGCTCGCTCCCTCTGTCTCTCTCTCTTATGAACACCGCTGCCCAGATCTGTCCAATACAAAGCTGACAATGTCGGAGACCCACCTTGCAAAAAAGTTATTTGCTAGCATGTAAGGAGCCTAGCTAATAAGAATAATAAGTATAGCTATGTTAACATTAGCACGCTTTACATAGCTGGTAGTATTTTTATCTTAAAACATGTTTAAGAACACATTTCATTAGATTCCTGAGATCCTGCAGTAAAATTCTGAGCTCTACTATTGCCGAGGTATTTGAGGCAAGCTGCAGCCTTGCTCCTGCAAAGTGAGGAGCCCTTTTTGCTGAGGAGCGGTGAGCACTCTTTCCTTGCCTGTGTTGGTTTGGTATTTTAGTGACTTACAATGTGCCACAGTAGGAGGGAGAGGAACAGTAGAGGGTATGTCATTGCCAAACCTCTAGCACATTTTTCAGCACAGTGGGTTGAGGTTGACCTGCGTCCTTCCCCATTACATTCTCTTACATCTTTATTTAACAATGAGCATTACTGTTTAGCCATGCTAGTGGTGTTGCTCCAGACTGTCGTTCTGTCATGAGTGGGAGTATGCAAGTATATACTCACAAGTAAAAAAAATATAATTATATACTTGTATTGTTTGTTTAGCCGATTAAAGGAACACCCATGTGATTTCAACAAGGACAGACATTGTTGTGTCATCACCTCGTCACTGTGGGCCAACACCAGGTAGAGGAGCCTCAGAGCAGCCAAACCAGTGTCCTCCACACTGAAAGCAGTCAAACCAGTCTCCTCCGGTCTCACTAGACCAGCAGCTGCAGCAGCACGGCCCGCTGGGAGCGAGCTGGCAGAACCAGAGTTTGTACCACCAGAAGAGGTTGAGCGGAGCGAATCCAGAGCCTGACAGAACCGAGACAGGTGAAGCTCCAACAGAGGGAGGAGGAGGACAGCGCCGGGACATGACCTGCGCGCACACACACGATTTGTGATTTTTAAACATTTTGTGCTCAGGTGAATGTTAGTTGTCCAAATCACACTAAATGTGAGTTAAATTTCTAATTTTGATGTTTATTTCTTCAGTTTTTGTGTCTGAAAATATAAAATTAAAATTATGTTAAAGGAATTAATGGTGACAAGGTTTTGGTATAAAATTTCTAGTCTCTCTCCTTTCTCTTTTCTGTCGCTCTCTGCATGTGTATCTGCCTTCACCTTCCTATGTTCCTGCGCAACACCTGCTGCAACAATTATCATTCATACATACACTACTGTATATAAAACTGAATTGAACTTGTGTGAAGACAGTATTTGAAATATGGTGAAACCGTACTTCTCAGGAGTGCACAGGCCTTATATGTGGCGGCTGATATATCGGTGAAAAATGTAGTATACAGTTTAACCAGATTCTGTAAACCTACATTAACCAGAGACTGTACAAAACATGGACGTAGTGTCACTGCAGTCACCCAGAAGAGGTTTTGAAGAGCCATTATGAAGCTTTGTGCTGCTGTTACAGTTTGCCCACAAGATGGCTCTGCTGTCCACTGAACTGTTCAGCATTAACCGTGTTTTGTTGTTCTGGATTCTTCAGTGAGTAGCAGATATCAAAGTTAGTAAAGTTTCAGCACAGCAGTTATAGTATCTCAGTCAGTTTACCTTTTGCTTATGCTGCTGGCTGCAGCTTCTGGTCGGCTCTGACTCAGCATGTTGAGTCCAGTTACAGCCAGACTCTGGACTGGACTCAGGTCTACTCTGGGATTTCCACCTCCATCGACAGTAGGTGCAGCATCAGAGTGAAGCAGAAAACCTGCTGACATCCCGCTGAAATCAGTACATACAACATCACATCAGTCTTTTATAACAGTTCAGCTCCTTTGTGCTTAAGCTGCAATAGGTTGTACTAGTGGTATTACAGCCAACACTGCTACTACTACTGCTGCTGTTAAAACCACTATCTTTACTACTGCTCAAGTCTGCTATAATATATTAAAAGTTATATTATATTAAAGAAAGTTAGTTAGTGGATTGGGTGACACCATGTGGTGAGTGAGGTGAGGTAGCTGCATTAAGTGAACACCCACACAGTAGATGCTGAAGTGATCATAGCACCGTAACATTTGATTAAAAGTCTAGTGTGTTATTGTCAAACACAAATGTGCATCTTTGCCATTGAATGATGTAGTCTGGTATGTTTGCTTTAGAAACAAACTCAAGGTCGCTGTTTGTTTAAACACACAGTATGATGCGTTTTATTGATCCACCGTGTTATAGCTGCCATTTTGGCCGCTAATAAAAGTTACTTTAAAGCACGGGCACTTCCTGTCAGCTCGGAGGCATTGCGAGGCTACCCAGCCGACCAATCACAGAGCTTACAGTCTACGTTGACTTGACATGTAGTTACATTTTTGAGGAGGTGCAGGTCAGGCTACGCTGTAGGTGACGGCGTAGGGTAGGGGGCTACGCCGTCGATTTGACGCAGAATTATTAATTGCATCTGAGCGCTCAAACAGAAACTAATATTCACACACATTCATACACTGGTGGAACAGCCACCAGGGGCAATTCGGGGTTCAGTATCTTGCCCAACGACACTTCGACAAGCAGCCTGGAGGAGCCGGGGATTGAACCGCCGATCTTTCAATTAACAGGCAACACAGCAACCACAGCTGCCCCAACATCATTAAACCATGGTGACTTTCAATGAGCATGAATTCTGTTTTGTTTGATCTGTTGGCCAGTGGGTTGCTTCTTCAGGATTTATTTTGCCACACCAGAAATTGAGCTAAAATCCGTTTCTCCCTGAAGTCACTGCTCCAAACACCTTCCCTCAAACTACTACAGTACTCTATTATACATATTTGCACTCCATTACCATCCCTGTTGTCATAGTTACAGTGCAGGGTGTTTACCTGGATGTCAGGTGGATGTCAGTCAGACTCATAGACAGCAGGTGAGAGAGGCCGAGGCTGCTGGGAGACAGAGGGTGCTGCAACAACAACCCCAGCAGAACGCCACCTGAAGGACAACACACAAAGGCTGTTACACTTCAGAGAGACAGGCCCAATCCCAGTGTCCCCCCCTAAGCCCTAAGGCCTGAGCCCTGAACCCTCACTTTACTGATGTCGCTTGGAAAGTGGTTGAGTGCAAGAGGCTGCAAAATGCTGTAAACAGGAACGGGACAGCACTTTGCCACATTATCACGTTACCTTGACGATGTTGAAACACTTTTTATTTTATGTTTTTGCCTGATTTTTAAGTTTTGCAGGCTCTTGTCCTACAGAGTGGAGAAGAGGTAAATGTCAGTCTACATTTCAATAATTGATCAAAACAGCATCATTAAGCAAAAACTAAAATAAAGTTGAATAAACTAAGCGTGTAATAAGGTGATTGCATTCCTCTGTCTTCATGTGTTCTATGTACCATCTTAAATCTATGTTAAGAAAAATTTTAACATCAGTGTTGATGTCCATGCTTGTTTGTTTACCGTTCTTCTTCTCTTATAAAGGCAGATTTGCTGTTATATTGCTCCCTCTTCTGGGTGTCCCCTGGTAACCACCGTGTTTCACGTCATACCGCAATGAACTGTGGGCATTTCCCTCAGGCAAAGTCTGCAGGAATGCAGACTTACAAAAAGGGCTCAAAATGTCCGCGAGAGAGCCCTCACGCACGACAATTTGACAGTGGAACAGCCCTAAGGCCTCAAGGACTTCCTGGGAACGCACCTCAAAGTCTGAGTCTGTGAGTGGGGACATTGGGATTGGGTCACAGTGAGTGAAAATAATAAACTGTGCAGCAGACGCCAAGATAATCTGACTTCCAGTCTTAAGTCTGGGCAAGCTCCCAAAACATTGGGTCCTGCATTTCCCATAATGCAACTGGATAGTGTGTTTCATTAGACCCTCCCTGGTGGATAAATGCTCTCATCATTCAAACTCCATGCCGCCAATTTATAATGCAAGTCTAAAGTCTAAATCAATATGACATCACTCTAACATAATTTTGGGATATTTTCTCAGACTTGACAAAGCTCCTTCAGAGTAACAGACAAAATTAAACAACCCAGGCTAATCAGTATTGTGCTTGACAAGAAAATTGATCTTTGTGACTAAAAAAACAATGTAATGACACCACAGAGAGGTGCTGTTGAATTCATACAAAATTCAAAATAGGGGGTCAGCATTTTACACATTAGGTCATAATGGTTAGTTAGTTCAGTTAATAGTGCAGCTAACTTAGTGATCCTTTTAGTTGACTGATCTGCAGAGTAATACAAGGCACAGCGCTTATACGTAGGAATATGTGAGCTCTGTGGTAAATGCCAAAAGAAAAAGGCTGTCTGACAGCAAGGTCAGAGTTTGGAAATATTCTGAAAATAGTGTACACTTGAACTTTTTTTTCTCTTTTAAGTGGCTAAAACACATTTTGCAGCTGACCCTGTCCACAGCAGTGCATTCTGTGACAGAACAACTCTCCGCTTCTCCAAAATGGGGACAAACCGACTACCATCTACTGCAGGTAATGCATAATGTAGTTATATAGGTATGAGTGGGCTGAGAGTCTGATGTCTTAATTTTTTGGCTGACTAGTTTAAACCAAAGAGATTTAAATTTAACTGTGTTGCAGGTTATTTATTTCCATTAACCATTATGAAGTAGCAGCACTGAGGACTAGCAAACTGACCTCTGTGCTGGAGGTGTGCAGGTCTGACGGATAGGAAGGGGTCTGGACGATGGACTTCCTGTTTGTCACCAGACCTGCTGCTGGAGGCCCCTCTGTCCCCACCGTCTCTTCGTGTCTTCAGCGGCGTCTTCACTGGTGTCGTTCTGCTTGGGAGGTGAGCTCCAAATGTCTCCTTAGTGATGAACCCATTTCCTGATGGAGAGGAGGAGCTGCTGCCGCTCCCATGATGCAACTGGGCGTGACAGTTCAACAATTTCGGACTGAGAGGAGAGAGAAAGAACAGATAACATCAGATAAGCAGTGAGCAGATAACAATAAACCCTCCTGACTCAATGTGCTAAGTCAAACAAACACTGATCAGTCACACATGTTCATTCTGGAGTCTGCAACTGTTCCACTACAGTGTGACCTGTGACGCCCTTGTGCAAAATACCAGACATTAGGTGTTTTACTTTTCTTAACTCCACAAACAAATTTTCATAAACTGACTGACTGACCCTGTTGATTTTGAGTCCTTGTCGATGTCTTCAAATGTCTTGCTCTATCCAAACCAACGGTTCATAACCCAAAAGGTATTCCGTTTATAATTATATAAAACAGACAAAAATAACATGAAACATTTAAATGTAAATACTCTGTATTTGTATAGCGCCTTTCTAGTCTTTGCAACCAATCAAAGTGCTTTTCCACTGCATTCACACACATTCATACACTGGTGGAACAGCCACCAGGGGCTATTTGGGGTTCAGTATCTTGCCCGAGGACACTTCGACATGCAGTCTGGAGGAGCCGGGGATTGAACCGCCGATCTTTTGATTAATAGACTCCACCTCCTGAGCCACAGCCGCTCCTAACTGATTATCAAATTTGTTAATATTTAAGGTGACTTACCTGTTCCTAGTCAGTGGAGAAGCCGTCTTGTTTTTGTCTGAACTGTGCAGTTTGGTCTTTATCTCAATGATCTCTGCCTCTTTAAACTGCAGCTCAGACTGCAAAGACTGAACCTGATCATAGACAACATGTCATTATCAAGTTACTTTGAGGATTATACGTAGTGTATATACTGTACATGTTCTTCCGCTCCTCACCTTCCTGTTCAGCTCCTTCTCTCTGTCGCTCTGCTCTCTCTGTCTCTGAGTCTCCAGCAGAATCTGGTTCTGCCTCTGGGCCTCCTTCTCCTGCTGAGCTCCTATCAGAGAGTCCCTCAGGACCCGGATCTCCCCGCTCTTCAACACAATCTCCTCCTCCACCTCTTTTAGCTAATACCAAACACATTCACCAAGATATATTTATCATATTTTAGCCTGTTCTTAGCTGGTAAAAAACACATTTCTAAATTTGATATTAAACCTTAATAAATCTGCTCTGTTTTAGAAGACCTCACACTGCTCCCATTCTTGTTACATTCACATTGGGTATCAAACAGTGTCAAGTACTGAAAGCTGACAACACAATGTCTGGTGAGGTTCAGAAGTTTTAATATTTTAATATCAAAATGCACATTTGAATGTGTTGTATTGACTAAAAAGAGACTTTTATCAATTATAGAGACTGGGAATTAACTTATCAGATGAAGAATTAAGTTATTTCTTTATTTAAAAACCCCTTAACAAGCAGTGGCATGTCAGTGGGTCAGTCATTACAAACACACGCTGAGCAGCCAAACACTGTTTCAACCCACAACGCTTTATCAAAAGTTCTAGCGGAAATTTGCAAAGATACCAACAATGTCAGGCAAAATTTTTGGGACTTGTGCAAGACATGCAGAATACTTCTATCGGATGGAATGATGCAGGTTGAACAATTAACATGAAGTTTGGGGTTTTAATATTTCAGGCAGCGTAAACATCACAATAAAGAGTAGGACCTATCTGGTAAGATGATCAACCATAAGGGGAAATTATTTTGTTAGTAAAGATATTCTAACAAATTATGTGAGAATTTAACACCAGTCTTGTGTATATTGTACTGTCTTCTGTTTCATTTATAATTTATTACATGTTTTGTTACTGGTTTGCAGCTTTCAGTGATTTAAAGTACCTTTACAAAAAAAAACTATAAAAACATATATACACAGAAAACGCTCTCGTCTGATTATGTAGTTTTGTTCAATGTGCTGATCCTCTACTATGTTCTGAAACTGCTGCTTTTCTTAACTTGCTGTGCTGATCTTGTGTCTGTTCTGTTTTGTTCAAGTTTTATAAAGTGAGAAAACAGTGAGGCTCACCTTCCTCTTTAGCTCTGCATGCTGAGCTTCAAGCAGATGGTAGGATTCTTCTCTGTCTGACCCAAACTGTTGCTGCCTGTTAACTAAAAACACAAAACAACAGAGGTTTGTCATTAACTGTATTAGCTGTTAGACCTTTACTGTGACATCTGCTCATTACAGACACTGCAATGGCTCTGCATGTTTTAACACAGGAGAAGAGTTGTATCAATACATTTTGTCACAGTGTACAAAAATGTGGAAACGAGTTCCCCAGCTGACAATAAGTGTGTTTACTGTGACAACATACAGCAACTGATTAGACAAACGATTTACAAACTTACCAGATACTCAGTTTTTCAGCAAACCCTCTTTTCAGATCCTGCATTTTCTCTCACACTACACGATTTTTTTAGCCCGATTGGCCGCTGGGCGACCGTCAGGCTGTGATCGGGGGTAAATCAGCGGCCAGTCGTTATGTGTGAACTACTCAACAACGCATCAAAACGGCTCCCTGACACATTTCTGACACATCGCAGACGTCTGCCAGATATCGGAGTTGGCCGACTCCACATCCACATCCAGACAATGAGAGCAGGCTGCTGGCAGAGCAGGCAGCTAGTTTTTCACCCCAGAACACTTTTTACTCACCTCCAGCTCTCTTAGCACAGACAATCCCTGCTACCTGAGTGTGCTAATCCATTCTTTCACACAGATTTTTTGTCTTTAGAATTGGTATCTTTATAATAAACAATAGCTGTTTCGTGTGTAGGTTCGCGTCATTTCCCGTTTCACATTTCACGTGTGTTTTCTTGACAAAACGTGGTTTGGAGACCAGCGTTGGGTGACAGAGTCGCTGTCAGCTTGTGTAGTGTGTGACCCCCTGTCACCGATCAGTCACGTAGAGTGAACGCCACAACAACTTCAAGACTCCTGTCACAAGACGACAAGTTGTTAATTCCTCAGATAAGTTTAAGTTCACATTATTAGAAACTGAACTTAAATGTTGTTATGTAAATTTATTTTTAAAACTCTGTATCTGTGAATTCTATCTCCGAAAGGACACAACACTGGTATCTGCGCCAATTCATATCTGCTAACCCAATTTGGTCAAATTGTTGGTCACATACAGAAGAGCCAAAACATTGTACTTTTCTTAATATGATGCAAAAATTTAGAGTTGGAATACAGTTATAATATTTAGGACTCAGCACCTGGACAGATAAATTTGCATGTGTTCTCAGTGATTGTTCAAATCACTACCTTGGCACACTTGATACCAGTGGGAAAATAAATAGGTAATCACCTACTCTCATGGTTCTCTTTAATCTACAACACTAACATTACTTTGACAAGAAAACTGTTGTTCAACAACTGTCAGAAGAACAAAACAAATGATATAGGATTTAGAAAATGATCATCAGGAATTTAAAGGACAGATGGTAATGCAGGTAGTCAGTGGGATAAAATATAAATCCACCAGGTTAAATTTGAATATATTTTTGAACATCAGCGATGTTTAGTTTCTGCTCCGAACTCACCGAGAGGTTCTCTGCTTGATACCTCAGCGAACCCTCTGTTACTGCTGTTGAACCCAAATGTGTTCTCTCTGCTCTGAGTGGTTGTGGCTCTGCTCACAGGTTTACTCTGCCCTGCAGACTGTGGCCAGGCGGACCCACGGCCCAGCTCCATCGGTTTGGTTCCTGGTTTAGACCCAAGCCCAGATGCAGCCGCTGAGGTGATGGCCTGCGAGGCAATGATGTCAATCTCATCCAAGTCGTCCTGGGTGAAGTCCTCATCATCTCCAAATGGGTCATCAAAGGTCACTGCCATCGCTACATCCTGGTTCAGGCCACGCAGGCGTTTGGTGGGGGGGCAGTTCATGCTGGGAGAAAGAGAAAAGAGAAAAATTTTTAGGTCAACAAATATTTGATTCAGGTCATACAAATTTTATGGCACTCTACACAGATGGTTATCACTTCATATGATTATTTTTTTCTTCTTTAACAAAACAAACAAAAGCTTCTTTTAACAAAGCTCCCCAGTCCTTCTTACCGCTTAGAATTGTGTGACTTATTAAGTGGACCATTCTTCTTCTGAAACGTTTTAAACATACTGGTACTTAACTTTATTCTACTGATTGGTACTGAGATTCAAGCCTATGCAGGCAGATTTGAACAGAAATGAACTGAAACCAGTGGCTACTTCCTGGAAGGGAGGAACACAAACTTAACACTGATGATGAGTTTGGGAGATGGACAGCAGGAATTACGACACAACAGCTATGTATCCAAAGAAGGTTAAAGAAGAGAGCACAACAGCTATGTATCCAAAGAAGGTTAAAGAAGAGAGCACAACAGCTATGTGTTTTGAACTGTATAAAACAAAAGGATAACAGCAATGTTGTTCAGCTCAGACCAAAGTGACTGCGGGTTGTTCGTTTCTCTCCAAACTAAAACTTCTAAACAAGCCAGTGACTAGTTACTAAAGTTACGTTAATTGTCTAGATAATCTGAGTTAACGTTACCTTGTCTGCTGGTGGTGCTGCTGTCGCTCCTGTTAGCTGTTAACTGAAAGGATAACGCTAAATAACCAACGTTAGCTTTGATTCCTGCTAAGCTAACACAGCTCCCTCTCACAACAGTATGTCAGTTAACACTTCATGAAAGAGACGTTAGAGTTGTCTGATAACGGCGTAACTTCAGACACAGTTTCAGCACTTGACAGGTAAAATGGGTTAAACGTTAGCCAGCAGCTAAACAACGCCAAAGTTAAAATAAAATTGTCGGGATAAAAGTGAGTTGTTTAGCCTTCTCCGGTGCCGCTGATAATCTGACCAATCATAACAGTGCTCTGACAGTCCGTCCAATCACAGGCGCCCATGAGGTACAGGTCCCTATTCGAGACAAACTGTACTGAACGCGCAATTTAGAAAAAGGGCTTCAAAGGAATGGTGGCCAAGAGTTGAATGAAAATCTTGATATCACTCTCATGTCGGACAGTAAATAACAGGCTACAATCAGCAGCCTGTTATCTGAGCTTAGCACAAAGACTGGAAACAGGGGGAATGTCCTATAGAGACAGGCCAGTTAACAAAAACCGCCAACAGTCAAACCACACTGTTTAGAGATTTTATTGAGGAAACTGCAAAAGTGTGGGGGAAAATTGGATTTTGAATGGTGAGATGGACATCTGATGATCAAATTTAAATTATTTAATTGTACCCTTGTAACTACTGCCATGTTGGTAAAAGGTCATTAGCTGCCACAGTTTAAATCCACATCTTATTTCAAAGTCCGGTGGTAGTGATGAATGTACACTCTTCAGCTTCTTGTAGCTTCTCAGCAACAGCAAGGGTGCTTTCCATTTTTAGACACAGACAGGTCTGTATGTCGCAGCTGAAGCTCTACAGTGTGTGTTCATGTGTGTGTAACTCTGACACACACTCACTCTCTCTCTTTCCGCCTCCGTACTTCAGGATAGAAATGGCAGAGCTCAGCGACAGGCATCCAGATGCACCTATCATCATCATCATCATAATCAGCAGCAGCAGCAGCAGCAGCAAGGCACACACACACACACACACACAAACACACGCGATCATCACTAACATCTGCACTGCCATAGTATCACCAGTATCACCAGTATTTTTCCCATGAACAGTTTCAGCTCTTCCCATCTTAAAAAGATAATTCAGTGAATGAGCAAAGCCACACAAAGACACACACACACACACACACACACATATTTGGCAGGCGAGTTGGTTACCATAACAACCAGTCAAAACAGGGTCACTGAGTAAATCAGATGAAATGAAGCTTACATACACGTGTACGAGTGTGCTACTGCAGAGGAGAGGCTGTAACTCTCAAACGACTGTCTAGTATGTCTTTGACATCTCTGACTGTCCACTCCTGCAGTGTCCTCTCAGGACTGATTGGACAGCGGCCTGTGGTGGGAGCCAGCCTGCTGTCCAATCAGAGTGAGAGTTGCGTTCACATTAACCCCCGGTCGTGACCCTGACCTTCCTGTTGGGATGTGTGTGGGTGATTGTAGTTTTGAGTTATTTTCCCCTTGGGGCGTTTATGGTGTGCTTGGTGTGTTTTGGTTTTTGTCTGTCCCTCTGTGTTCTGCTTCCTCCCTCATGCTCTGCGGCTGCTGGTGGGCGTGGTTGCCTGAGCTCCTGTTGACGCACCTGAGACTCATCCATTTAATCAGCACACCAGTGCCTCAGCCTACAATCAACCCACCTTAAAAGACCAGCCCAACCTTCCAGTCCCTGCTGGATTGTTGTACCACACAGTACGAACATGCCAGCCTGTTGCCCAGTCTGAACAATCAGCATCTTGTCTGAATCCTTGAATTTGTATTAACGTGTTTTTCTGTCTCGACCACAGCATACCTGCCCATGCCTGACTCGGATTCCCTCCTGCGCCACGAAAACCCCTGAGCTCTGGAACCAGGACCACATGCCCCTTGGAACAACCACCCATCCCCAAGCCACACCTGTCTCTCTCTTGTGTTCAATAAATCCTTACACTGCTCAAACTCTGGTCTGAGTTTCTGGCCCCGGTCCTGACATAAGGTGGAAAAGTTGTCCCTTGCGATGTGATATTCATAGACCGTTATAAACCCTTCTCACTTGTGAGTCACCAAGTTCAAACTCAGTAAGTTTACCACAAAGAGTTCATACTCCTAAGACCATATTCTCTTATTCAAACAGGACACCAACATGTTAGATTAAGCATTGCTTGTCCAAATAGGTTTTTCTTTTCTATAGTGTGCCAGTGCCGGTTGTCATTTTAACCGACAAGATCCATGGTCATTAGCTAGAAGTGAGAAGTTGATTTTGTCTGTACTATCTGAAATCAAGGACCTATTGTATTGTTTTGCACCCCTTTACGTTAATCTGATGTTAAAAGGGCCCAAAAGTGTTTGATGATTTGGGCAAAGTAATGCTATGTAAGGCAAGTTTAGCTGGAGCTGCTGGAGTGTGAACTTCCCCCATACCAAATAAAGCTCTGGACAGAACATTAGATTAAACTCTGATGTAGTCACCTCCAGGAATAGCTTTACACTGTTGATGTAACACCAAAAAATAATCAAGTTAGCTATGACCATGCACATTGTCTTGAAATAACTCTAGGTTAGCTGGACAGGCAGCTCATATCAGAGCAGACAGACACATTATCTATTCCTTACACTTTTTTGTGAGTTTTTCATTGTGGCAAGGTGATCAACCCACAAACTCTTTGTATACATATATTGTATCCTCCTTACTGCAGCTCCATGTACACAGCTTCAACATGTGGCGAAATCCAAAGACTGACAAACCTGCTGAGCCTAGTCACAGTAGCTAAACTATGATTTGGCAATTGTTTTGTGGGAGGGGTTAAGCCACATTTGACCACAGGTGTGTCAGTTTTTTAAAATTTTAAACATGTTGAGATTTGTGTGCCAAACATCCTATAATGCTTATATCATGTAATACAGAAACATGCTGTTTGCAAATACAAACATTAAAGTATAAATCTAACCTCCGTGTTCCTAATAAACAAATTGTTGTTATGTAGAATGTTTGGACAAAACATTCATTAATTATTTTATTCTAGCATGTTGCACAATAATATGTCCATTTACAGCCGAACAAGATTAAAGATTAAAATAAACATTTTATTAGACTTAGGGTGTGCAACCCATGGGACTGAAACTTTCAAATCTGTGTTGAAGTGCTTTGGCCCCTGTTGTTAACGGCTGATATAGTTGCTACAAACCACCAGGAATCACTGTGCTCGCCGAGCTTCAAGTTTCAAATCTTTTTTCAGCACAAACAAATAAAAAGTCCAAAAGCTTCATAAGGCTTTGCTTGCCCATTACATCTAGTAAGTCAACAAATAGATTGCATACCCTTTCTTGGGTTACACTTAGGGTTGGAAACAGTGGATCAGGATTAAACTGCCAGTGTGAGATCCCCCTTATGTTGCATCATGTCTCCTCAGGTTGTGTAAACCAGGTCTAACTGCACTCTGGCCCCTTCCAGATCGGGTCTCAATTTGTTCACACTGAGTTTGGGCCGATTCTCCAATATTTTGTGCCCAGTCTGAAACAGTAGACCTCTAGTACACACACGAGGGACTACATCTCCCAGAATGCCTTGAGCAGCATCTGCTGGAGGATCCTGGATTAACAGCTAGAAGATGGATGGTTGCATGGCGTGTTTCCTCTGTTACTGTGTGTATCTCTGCAGTACAGGCTCCCCCCTGCACAAGTCGAAGCTTCATGAGGAGTTTCAGTCAGAGAGGAAGACATCCAGAGGGAGACCGCTGCGTCTGATTGGCTGATGACCCTTAAAAGGCCACCAATCAGATACCATTCTCACTGTGACTGCGTGTGTTTCCCTCTCCGTCTCTGAATGCACTGTGTCAGCCTGTGCATATTTTTATGTTTGCAGCACTGCATGCATACATGAGTGTGTGTGTGTGTGTGTGTGTGCAGGATGGTAAAATCAGGATCTGTGAAGGAGGGGGAGGGGCAAGGATTGAGACGCTGAAGAAATAGATGAAAAAAGAAAGAAAGAGGGATATACAAAAGAAACGACAAAGGGAGACCACAGATGTGAAGGAGAGAGTGATAGTGAAAGGCACACTGAGGAGAGATAGACAGAGAGAGTGACGAGGAGGAGGAGGAGGAGGAGGAGGAAGCAACGATCTGCTGGAGGAAACAGCAGCATCGCTGATTTTCATAGGAACCAAGGCAACTGTCCTCTGTTGCCGTGACGATGGGCTGCTGGCTCTCTGGACCGTGGATGGGTGACCAAACGGTGAGCGTCCAAAGATCTGCGATAATGTTATAAAAGATGCTGTGTGTATTTTATGACGTCTCATTTAAAGAAAATGGAAATGAGCTCTGCCAGACACGTTCAGGTTTGAGTGTGTGTGTGTGTGCGCACGCACGCGCGTGTGTGTATGTAGATGCAAAATGATTTCTGCAGGACTCTGCATTTGTGCGTGGATAATAAACCTAATTTAATGTGTGTGTTTAAATCTCAAACAGTTTGTCTATTTTTTTGCAAATATGTAGAATTTTCATATTTTGTACAAGAATGTGGTTCATATTCGTCATCACCATCTGCTGAAGACTCACAGTCATTCTGCTGCTGTCCTCTGTCTCCACACACAGGTGCCATTTTGTGCTTCTCAGTTCATGCCGTGTGTGTGTGTGTGTGTGTGTGTACGTGTGTGTGCCTGGTTGAATGTAGCAGAGGGTGACTCATGACTGTGATGTACTGGAGTTAACAATTCTGTTCATGCGTCTAATTTGATGGCTCGTGTGCGTGTGTGTGAAGCAGGATGAGGTTCATGTTGGCTCATAGGTGTTAACCCTGTCGTGCAAACATGGACACCATGTCCACATTCATCATTTTTTATTTAAATCCCCCAAATAGACTGTTGTGTTTGTCAAACTGGAATAATGTCTGCAGGTAGAGCTGTGACCCAGTTGCATAATGTCTGCTAATTCAGAGTTTTTAGTAGTGTAGTGTGTAAAAAAAACAGACTGGATGAAGTGCAGTTAAAATGGCAGCGTGCGTACTAAAATTTTATTGTGGTATCGTTGACGCTGTTCTCCCACAATGCATGGTTGGATTAAAGCATTCCTCCAGTGATTCAGTCTGTCACTTCTATAAACTTATTAGCCTTAGAGACGGATAAAACAAAAGTACAGCAGAGCCAGAAATGTTGACTTTTAGTTCTTGGCAGGGACGGGCCTGACAATGTTGGAGCCCTAGGCGAGATTTTAAATTGGCGCCCCTACCACCATGCCCAATCCTAACTCCAAACTCACAATTTTAGCATGTATAGATGAACAGCCAAGTCAGTAATCATGGTCAATAATGAATGTGATCAGCATATTTGTCAGCCTCCACATCATAGCCTAAATTGGGAGACCGAAACTATATGTGTCCCTCCATAAACTGTGAGTCTACCCAGAGACTGTTTTTTTGCATTATGGAGTAGATTTCTTGAAATGCAACGCCATTGGTTTAGTTTCAATGATGGAGGGTACTCAAATGAAGAGGAGGATCTGGGGGTCCTCCCCCAGAAGATTTTAAGCATTCCAGTCTTAATTTCCTGCATTCTGGTGAAAATTTCTGCCTTTTCTGCCTCAATTTATGGTGGAAAAGTATTCATTTATGTAAAGGGAAACCCAAAATTCAGGCAGCAGGTGACAAATCAAAAATATATAATGCAGTAAAGCTTTCAGGTATTCTGTAGCTATTGCTTTTTTAAATAGCCTTTGTTTCTCCTGTAAATCAACTTTTCTAATTTAAAGAGGTGGTATTATGCTCATTTTCAGGTTCAAAATCTTATTTAGCGTTTTCATTGTGATGTCACAAGTAAAGGAAGTGAAGGGCCGGACTACAAACGAGCTGTTTTCAAGCGGTTCAGAGCAGAGCTTTCTGTGGGAGATGGGAACTCCCTTTGGGCTGAACTTTGGGCTTTTTCACTTTGCAAACCTCTTACATGCACAAAAAAGATATATAACTCAATAAAGGAGATGGGAAATGCCAAAAAGCATAATACCACCTCTTTAATAAAATCCCTGCCGAGTCAGCACACCAGCAGGCATGATTCAGTCTTCCCTCCTCTTTTGTGTCTTTTTTTTGGGGATGTGCATGTGACACCTTGCTCTGCTGGAACGATCCCTTTTAAACCGCTTGATCGACACAGTGCACAGACTGCATGTTGCATGTGAAACCGAAACCAACTGGAAAACACTCCACACGCAAATCCACATGCATATTAACTTAAGCAGCTCAATGTCCCAAACAGAGCAAGGCTGTGCCTCAGGTTCTAGATGTTTATATAGCAAAATTCTCCACAACGACACGATTCGTTACAACTGTCTGGACTCACAGTGCGAGGTGCACTTAATAACTATCACAGCGTACACCAGTGTTGCAGCAGCTGGGCAGAGTTGATTCGTGCTGAGTGGAAAACCTTCTCTTGCGGTGCCCCCTGACATTTTGCACCCCAGGCAACCGCCTATGTCGCCTATGGTTCTTAGCACGGGTCAAACTCCCCAAACACTGAATCCTACATTGACCATAATGCATCTGGATAGCATTTTGTCATTTTTGACCCTCCCTGCCTGATAAATAGCCACTTTCTGTTACACATTTATAGTATTCAAGCCCAAGCTGAGATAACCCTGATGACATCACTATGACATCATCAGGGTTATTTTTTCCAGCCACATAAGACATTATACTTTTACAGGCCGAGGGGGGCCAGTGGTTCTGGTAATCATGACCAGTGAATTGATCTGCATGTGAAAAATAAGTGGAGTGCAGGTATTACATACCATCTCTGGAGGTCATCTAGGATCCAGTAAATTAAATTGATGCAAAAATCATATAGGCCTAATATAATTTCAATATTGCCATGAATCAGTCCAGCTCAGTTATTAATAACAATGGTCAATGAACAACTGTATGTATCTTATACTGGCCAACTGTAGCTTCCACTAATGGTAATACTGCCAAAAATGCACATTCATTTAGCAGAGAGCTGCTGCACAATAGTGTAATATAATCATTGTTGACCCTTTTGTAAATTGTTTGACATTAAATCCTAAACATCAAATGAATCAAGTGAAAACTGATTTTCTCTATGTTTCAGATTGAGACAGAGGTTATCTCATAATAATCAGATGCTTTGATGATCAGAACATAATAATAGTAAAGCTCCACTGATTGTAATGGTAAAGTGTCTCTGGTTGTTCCACAAGATTTCTCAACAACTCTGCAATAGGCCTTTAAGCCTATTTTAACTCAACCTTTTGGTTTTATGACACACTTACAGTTTTGTTTATTCTCCAGCACTAAACACCAGACAGACAAAGTAAGTGTCTATCTGTTGAAGACACTGGGATGGTTGGCAGCTAAAGACTCTCAGGAGTTGAGACCAAACCAGAGCAAAAACAAGAGCAAATATTGCACATTCATCAGGAGGATATACACATGACTCAAATGGGATGATCATCTTGCTCTGTGTCTACTGGATGTGTGAACAGGCACGTGTTGGCTAACATCACACCCCATCTCTTCCTGTCTGCTTGTCTCAGGTGAGTGGGCGGAGTCTAGCACACCTGAGCCAGCGGGATGCTCTGCGGATCCTAGCGGCCAGTCAGCGTCCAATCACCATGCAGATCAAGGGTCAGAGGGGGTGTGGCACCGAGGCAGACAGGGGAACCTGGGAGCCCCTACCCCTCAACCTGCAGCACCTCAACCTGCCTCTACCACGAATGGGGGCGGGACTTAACGCCTCCAGCCCCTCCTACCAGGACAGGTAACACACACACACACACGCACACACAGAGAAAGACAATATGATGAGGACCTGGACAGTCTAGTAAGAGTTCTGTAGGAAGCTGTTAGCTACAACATAAAAAACCATATGCAATAGAATGGTAGTGAGTATAAAGTTATCATGATCAGCAGTAATGATGGGCGAAATGACTGTACTCAAACACACAGGTCACACAGAGTTGGACAAGACAGAAATCTGGATCGTTAATGCTGCTGCTGAACCACATCTGTACATGCAGCAGCTTTAATATATTAGTCAAGTCTTAGTCTTTAGTTCTGCAGGATTTTTAAAAGTCTTGAAAATGTCTTAATTCTGTGTTCTTGTCGCCCATCTCAGACATTATTACAACCATCTGACTCTGCCACAAGATCGTTGTGATGGAGGACGGTACAGCTACCTGTCCAGCTCCCCACGTGACACTGTGGACGTCGGCCACCAGGTGACATTAAGAAACACACACACACGATCACACAGCCCACTAAACTGAATATAAATATTACAATTTAACTGCATCAATATGCTAAAAAAATATTGGATATCACTATGGTCTCAGCAACAATCAAGTCATTGTTGAGTGATTGGTTGGTTGGTTCAGGGGATCAACAGACTGGACATTACCCATGCTGCATTTAACAAACATAACTGACAAAAAGATCATGGAGGACAGCGTTGAAAATCTCCGCACAGCTGTGACTGAACACATGCAGTATGTAGAACTTGGTAAATTGCATTGAAGTTCTGCAGGAACAAATATCGAAGAGACAAACTCAGTGACTGTAGTGTCCTTTTAACATTGGGAAAAAAATTCAAATACATTAACATCAAAACATTAATAGATTTTTCTCCATCCTAATCCACTTCTGTAGTATTCGTCTGTATGATCAGGAACAACACACCTTTATTTTGTGCACAAATTTTTAACTCAGTTGTAACATATGACCCTATAGTGCTCACTACCAGGCACATAAAATATAAGGCTAATAAATCAACTACCCATAATCATACAGAAGCTTTATGTTGTTTGTCATTTTCTTCTCTCACATCATGACTGCTTCAGGATCCAGAACTGACTGGTCGTGGGCTAAAGGGACAGAACTGCCTGATGGGATGCTGCAATACAAACTTAGAAGAACCTAACGGCTGCCACAGTCAGGTATCCGAAGCTGCGCTGTTTATCACCATTTGTGTCATTTAGCAATAACTGTGCCAATAAGAGACTTTTTAAGAGAGTTTTAGCACTAATTCTAAAATAATATCAATATGTAGTATTTCACTAGCTTTTTCGTTCTGGGTAGAAATGACAGGAGTAGAGAGTGACAGTTGTTGCAATTGTTTCAAATTATGCTCATTAGAGGACTATAACTATAACTTCACAAATTTATTACAGTGATCCTGCAGATAATAATTTTGTTCGGTTGTCACCAGAGTGCATAAGGAACAAGGGTGGGATTTGAGAGAATCTGTTTTCTACAAAACCTTTTGTTGTCATTTAAAAAGATACCTGTGAAGGTTCTCAGTCATCCAGGTCATAGTTATCTTTGGATTGTCATGGAAAAGATATTTCTGGTGATATGTTATATACTTGTTACTGTCAATTCATTTGCTACACTGACAAGCTGTTTTGGGGAATTACAGAGCATTTCTTCAAACTGAAACTGAATTTGTGAGCTGTTTTTTAAGATTAACTTGTTCAATAGGTACCAGTTGGCTTTGTACCACAGACAGAGTAGGGAAGTCAGGAAGTATTGAGAGATGGACTAATACATTGTTGGTTTTGGTCTTTTCATGGGATTTGTTAGAGAAATAAAAAAAAAAATAGTATCAGCAGGCTTATTCTTTAACTAAACGTCTCTGTTACATCGGTTTAATACTGTCCGTACTGTGTAAACTAAGATTCTGACCACAAATTCACTACTAACCTTTAGTATTTGACAGTTTCTCACTTCTACAGATACACATAGTCATTATTCAGAATGTACTGAGGTCCCACACACAGATAATAAAATATTCTATCTCTTTAGTTTATAGTGCTTTGGTGTGTAGCTGTGTAAATGAGGATGTGTGTTGTTACAGACAGATGACGAGGACTTCATGCTGGAGAAGCCGATGGGCTTCCTGCCCCTCCACCATGAGCTGGACAGTGGACTGGGCTGGACTGATGGCTCCCTCCACCAGGGTGACCTCTCAGGCCTGGAGACTGAGGAAGGAGGACTGGAGGATTGTCATTCACATGGGGCCCTGGCTCCAGGGGGTTGCGGGGGCTTCGGAGGTGGCGGCTCTCCTTCCTCTGAGTCCTTTATCTCCTCAGAGCTCAGTGACTCTGGCTTCTACAGCGTGAGCACCGGGGAGTTCAGGCACTTCCAGAGGCTGCTGGAGAAGCGAATGCGGCTGTACAATGCCAGGCTGCAACATCAGGGAGAACCCTGTGAGAGGCGGGAGCGGCGTGACAGCTGCCCAAAGAGTCACCGCGAACAGCTGGAGGCCATCCCTGAGGCCCTGACCATGCAGCCTCAGTGTCAGCGTCTGCAGCTTGGGCTGGAGGAGGGTGCTGGGCCTGTCATGGACCTCCCAACACGTGGACTTTTCAGGTAGCAGCTGGCAGAAAACTGGCCCTGAAAAATTACCAAATAGCATTTCATAGCAACAGTATCTGGGGCTGGTTTCACAAAATTCTATCCGAATGGTTTTGCTGTAAGACTTGTCTAATATGAGTTTGTCAGCTGCACACAAATAAAAACAAAGCAAAACAAAACCAAAAAATGTAGTCACCCAACACCACGTTTCCATTTTAACAATCAGTGACACCTGTTAACAGTGACAGGCAGAAGAAAATGTGGCTCAGGCGGTGGTTTAGTAACAATGTTGATGTGTTAAAAATAAGACTGTAGTAATCACTGCACGGTTAAGTCCCTGATTTAAACCTGTTTAGACGCGTTTAAAACCAGTCTAAAGTATTTTATTAATGTTTACACCTTTTGAAAAACATTTTACATAAGTATGTTGGCATTTAACGCCAGCCTAAATCACTTTATCCCTTGTTCAAACTAGTTAAAATCTGACTAAACCTGTTAAAAGTGGTTCTCAGTTCAAGCAGTTAAAAACCAGTTAACTCAGTTTTTCTGGAGTTAACAAAGCTGTCAGTGTCATAAACTGGCTCAGGGAATGTGACAAAGAGGGAGTCCACGCAAGGTACTTGGTTAAAACAAGTATAATTTATTAAACTAAAATAAACACACAAGTACAAAAGAAGATTTAACCTGCTGGAAGGGAGAGAGCTCTTATAGCCCATGGGCCCATTTGCACGCAGTCAGCTGACGACCCTCCCAGTTCAGCCAATACTGAGGTTGGCAGGACAACCTCCATACAGTGGGAGGGACGTCACATCAGTTTGAAGCTAAAAATGTTTGCTAATTTACCAGAAATACTAATGAATTAGTCAAGAATCTCATAGCTTTGTGCAATAGATGAACTTAAATATCTATATTAAGTCCTTTTTTATTAAACCACCCCCTGACTTCTGAATATATATGTCCTCAAACTTGTTTCGATGCTGTTTGTTGACTTCACTCTTTGTATTTCAAGGGTTTCATCGGTCCAGTTCCATAAAGCTGACCGGCCCTGTCTGAACCGTCACAGCTCCAGCAGTGGGGCCCTCTTTAACCCCTCCCACGCCCATGCAGCAGTCTCACGAATGACTGCCCCAGTCCTCTCCACCTGCAGCACACCCTCCAGCTACCGAAGACCGCTAGTACCCATGCAGCAGCACCACCAGGGCTCCAGTTCAGTGGGGATGCTGAGGAGAAGCCGAACGCTGCACCATCGCCCTCCTCCGCAGGAGTACCGCCGCCGGGCCAGCCACCCGGCTTCCCCCTCCTACTGTGCAGAAACTCTGCACCACTGTGGAGGTGTCACGCCATGTAATGTCCTGCCGCCGGGCCTGCCAGAGGAAGGTGAGCTAGTGGCAGGTGTGATGGCTTCCCACCCAGCAAGCCTGGCCCTCCCACCACAACAACACCCCACCACTTTGGGGCATATCAGGGGTGCCACCACCCATGAGAGATGCTACGACAACAGCTCTAATGGACAGATTGCTCACCATGACTGGTGGCACTCACAAGAAAGACGCTTGATGGCTGAGCCTATGGTGACCGAAAGAGACATAGAGATCGAGAGGGAACTGGAACAAAAAAGGCAAATGCAAAAGGAGAAAGAGCTGGAGAGGGAGGCACAGATTCAGGAGGAGATGGACAGAGAGAGGCAGCAGGAGCTGGTGAGGTGCCGAGCCAGAGAGCAGCAGCACCTCCAGAGTTTGGTTCACCCTTCTCAGGCTGGAGATGTTAACGACACCTGGCCCAAACCGGCCAGCCGTCAGTGCCAGGGTGGCGGGGGAGGCAGAGGTCTCTACAGCACCCTGGAGGGCCACACAGGGGCTGGCTCTACCTCTGGATGGGATGCAAAGAAAGGACACATCAATGCGAGTTCAAGCCCTAATCCCAGTTCCGGTCTGCAGCCAAAACTTGATCTAAGCTCCAAACCCAACACAACCTCACGGATCTCCAGGAGCCAGCTCCTCAGAGACCGGGCGTCTCAGCTGGCAGATGAACGCAGCGGGATGAGCACAGATGAGGAGACCAATACCGATATGTTGATGGGTCGGTACTGGAGCCGAACGGAGAGAAGGGAACACTTCCTATTGGCCCGCGAGCAGAGGCAACAGCTTATGCAGGCCAGAGGAGTGACTATAAGAGACACAATCAGCAGGGGAGGAGCCATCACAGGAGGAGGAGCCTCTAATGGTGATGGAGGTAAGCTGGACAGCAGAGGAAGCGGAGCTTTTGCAGAAGGACGGTGCAACACTGTCCTGGAGCTGAGTCAGAGGAAGCTGAGTCGTCTGAGGAACAGGAAGCTGTTGGATGACTGGACGACTGTAGAGGAGCTGCTGACTCATGGGACCAGGCTGGACAACCAGGAGGACATAATGTGTCCTAGCTCCCTGCTGACAGTCACCACCGTCTAACTGCATAGACACCACGTCTAACTGTAACTCTGTGTGTGAGTGTGTGTGATGTTAAGCTAACAATACGACATTTGTGGTCAATCCTCTCGTGCTGTCTTTGCCAGCAGATGTGAAAAGCATGGATATCAGTTCCATTTCTGTATGTCCAGTACAGAGACAGTCTGGGACGAGTTTAATCTAGTTTAGCACAAAGACTGGAAGCAAGGGGAAACTGCTAACCTAGATGTCATTTTCATCTGCTCATGTTCATGCAGACACGTGTGGATGTTTTTATTTCACCCCTAAACTTAAGACTGCGCAGAGTGTACGCGCCTACAGCCCAGTGTGCACCATTTGCCAGCTACCTTGCTGTCTGTGCTCCTCTTAGAGTATTTTACAGACTTCAGATATCCACGTATGAAGATGACACTGATATCCATCTTCTCATATGACTCTGGGAAAGACAGAGAACATAAGGTTGTACAGAAATGTCGCACTGTTCCTTTAATGAATGTGCGCAAGAGAGGGAACCTCACTGTTATTGCTGTACATCACCTCAACTGATAGCTTTATGTGTGGGTGTGTCACCATTGTACAGCACTCCGAACGAAATGTGTGTGTCAGTGCATGACGCTTGTAATGACACATGACCGAACAAGGTCGGATGAGCGTGTATGTTTGTATCACGTGTTTCATGCTACATCTTTGCTACACTTCTTTCACGGAATCTTTGACAAAATTACAAAAAATTGGGTTTGGACTCAAATCCTCCAACTGAACATGAGATTTCGGGGAGCAATACTGTGTGATGTACCTGGCTGTGCACTAACAATAAATCACATACGTCTACTTTTACATCAGGGCCACAGAACACATCAACTGTAGTAGTGGAGACAATGAAAACTGAGATTTGATACCAAATCCTGAATGGTTTTTATAGAAACTCTGTTTACAATTAAAATATCAATCTGTGGGAGCTTTTGTAACTAAAATGGTACTCAAATGTTGATCAGAGATGGGGAACAATGTGCCACGGTGGTTTTCGGAGGATTCCGACAACAACTTTAATATGTAAAATCAGCTGCTGTGTTTTGGGTGGAGTTTTGTGCCGTATTTACGTTGTATCATGCAGACCGTATTTACGTGCATTTCAATTAGACAACACATTTACACCAAACTCCAATTTGTAATTCTGAGTTGGAGGTATCAGGAATTTCAGCTACGATATGTCCCACTTGGTGAAAAGAAGTGAAGAAATGACAAACAATGGTTGCAAAGTCACCACCACTGGCAGTCACATCTAAATAAGATGGATAAAATTGATTCAGATAATTAAAAAGAGCTATACACTCTTACAAATTGTGTTACAGACTTGTAATACAAATCTGTAAAAGCATATCATATTAGGTAAAAAAGGTAATACGATATCAATAAGTAATTTAGACTTAATCTCAATGTATCTGTTGTGGTTACAGTGCTAGCAGCAGACAAACAGCACGTGGCTGCCAAGCTGGGCAGCAGCAGGAGGCCGATGATCTAGTGAATGTGCAATTATGTTTATTGTGCTGCTGCAGCTGCTTCGCCTGCAACCATTGCCGCCACAGACATGCAGCTAAGGCATCTACAACAATTTATGAGCATGGGTAACGTGAATTATGCACCTCTTCACCTAGAAAAACTACAAATAAAATACAAAAATGGTCTTTGACCATCAGCTACAAAGTCTGATTATCTGGTCTGGACTACTCAACAATGTTTATGATTTTAGTTAGCTGAACTCAATTTTAATTGTGTAATTTTTTTAAACATTATTTAATAATAACGGGAGATTCTTACTCTTCTGCTGACAAAATTCTTGCCCTTCCTGGCTCATGGCTCCCTGTTCCTGCCGTTATCTTTACTGTTGGCAGGATGTTTACAGATCTACCAAACCATGTAACAGCATATGCACGTTTATTGAAATCTACAGAGATACGTTGACTTGGCGGAGACAATTTTAAAGAAAAGAAGATCCACCTCAAGTCGGGTGTACGTTAGGTTGTCTAGCCTGCTGCAGCGTCTGTACTGTCAGGACCAACACAGCTCAAGTCAGCATTGTTGACATTCCACTAAAAGCGAGTGTGAGTAAATCTGAAATCTACTGATTCCAGGTCTGCAGTTCGGGAAAATGTGCAATAATACCTCAAGCTAGTTTTAATACAACAATGACGGTGTTGCGTGCGCTACCTGTCAGGTTTCCATCTAATGCATCAAAACTCATTTTAAATCAAACAGATGCACAACAGTGACGAGTTACCACAAGTGCACCGTAGTCCTAGAATCTAAAATGGCAAGAGCAAAGGTTATGTAGATATTTACAATATTTCTTTACATTGTTTTCCATGAGAGGGACCTAAGAAAACTACTTTTTGCACATAATTTTTTATACAAAATGTTTTCCCTACCTTTCTGTACCAGGGACTGAGGCCAGTGGAATGACTGTAGATAGAACGACAGTCTGTGTTGATGTTTTATTTATGAACTATCATTGTAATTTATGGAGGAAAAAATCAGTTCATTGTCATTGTGTTGGACATATTTCAATATTTTTCTTGTGATGGTATAACAAAACCATGTGAACAGTTTATATGCTCTTTAAAATATACTTAATTTACTTAAAAGCTGGTAAATCTTTTATTTACAATTTTCAAAGAGTGAATACAAAATGTGAATATTATTGTCTCTTTAAATGGCTAAATTGAATTTTACTGTTGTTTTGTGTCATTATGACATGTACATATTGATTTTGTCAAGGTGCAGGTGAGGTTGGAGTTAGTAACAGGACATGCTGATGCCATCAGACACCTCCAGTTTTATCATGTGATTCTGTAGGTTTATAGCTGTGTTATGGAGGCTGTATATACAGCACAGAGATTAACATTGAAGTATTAGTATGTTTAACACTCACAATATTGTCAAAATTCATGGAAAGTTGTTCAGTTTGTTCTGAATGTTAAATGTGGCATCCATGAATTATGAGTAGGATCACTGACACTCTGCTGCTTAAAGGAACACTGCAACATTTTAGATAAACCGTATGAGTCTCTGTGCTCTCCAGAGTCAGATGTTGCAGATGGATCAGTTTTATCTCTGTGTCCAGGACAACTCCAAAGCTGTCCGATTTAAATGTTTAATCTTATTTAAAAGTTGTGGTTTTACAGGATTTGTTTAGATTAGTTGACACAAAGAGAAGCAGGGGAAGATATTATTGTCCCTAGCCTACTCCAAAGCTGTCTGATTTGCATGATCCTGTTAGCTAACAAGCTAGTCATCAATCCAACATTTTACAATGCCACAAGAGTCCAAAGTCCAAAATGACAGAAGCTGATTGATATACTTCCTCTCTGGCAGGAAAAAAATTGCAACAGAAAAGGCCTTTTTCACAGAAGACATTTTGATGTCATGTCACAGTAGGAAAAGCAGAGGTGTAAATAATTAAATTAATAATGGTTGAATTCCTTCCTGCTTTGGTTTCAGGGTCCTGGCATGCTGGCTAACTCTCTTACTAATATCATGGCTTACTGAGACACTTGATTAGAGCAGAGCCGTTGTAAAATTTCATTTTTTACATCTGTGCATCTGTGCGTGTGTGTGTGTGTGTGGTATGGATATTTTTTGTGTAAATTCTTCTTACATTCCAATTTGTGATCACCACCCTACATTGACTTGGTTGTTTTCCAAGCAAGGATATAGTCGTCACTCAGCACAACACCAGACATATTTAAAATACTGAACAAATCAGGGATGTGAGAGTGAAGTCTGGAAATCAGGCTAAGCTGGGTGTAGTGACTGCATGCACCACTTAAAAAGTTTTGTCCTTGTAGTGGGGTTGCCAGGCCTAAGCAACCGGTTTGTTTAAATCAGACAGCTTTGGAGTTTTTCTCTTTTGATCGACCTAGGCCAGCAGTTTCCCTATGCTTCCGGTCTTTGTGCTTAGCTAAGCACAGTCTATGTCTGTATGGGATGCACAGACATGAAACTGATACCCATCTTCTCATTTGACTCTTTAGAAGACGGAGGAAAAGAGGATTTACAGAAATCTCAATCTGTTTGTTTAAAACACTTGGAATCAGAAGAGGAAGACGTGGAATCAAACCACCACCACCATGTTGGTTTTCACGTTTTCCCTCTCTCTCGGCTGTGACTCAAACAGTCTGAATAATGGATGACGAAGAAAGATACCTCCCCCATCACTTTCTTTGCTTACGTTACACAAGGGCACAGAGAGCTGAAAATAGCGCTGCTGTCCTCGTGATGCAAAATTAAAAGCACACTGGAGCGGAGACACTTGCTGCTGGGGAACTCAACACTAATTTTACTCCATCTGACAATCCCTCCATCCAGCCTGCAACACCACCTCCATCTGTCTGTGCAAGGGTACTTTTCACAACAGCAAGCTTTTTTGGAATATGATGATGTACATGTGATTGTAATAAAGAGATTTTAATTAGCTATGACATGGGGGTTTTGTGTCTTAATTCATGTTTCTGACGTTTATGAACAGTAACCCTCAGGCTTTACTTGAGGCCAAATTTTACATGTAGATTGCTTCACATTCCCTTCATTAACACACACAATCATTCATGTTGGGTCATTCATTTCTAAACCATTACATAAATAAGTCAGGACCTTATTTCATCGAGGGTTGCCAAGGTTTGGATAAAAGCAGTTGGTTTAAAATAACACAACTTCAGAGTTCACCTTAAATAACTGTTGACAGTATTTGATGAGGTTATGTGGGATGCAGATGGCATTTTTTCAAATTATTTTTACATAATTGCACAAGATATCTGCTTCTGTTCTAAAGCTCAGAATCAAAAAAGAAAAAAGAAAGAGGTTAGGGGAGACCGGGGATGGATGTAACATTTTTGACATTTCTGTCTGTATCTCGGGGCTCTTTTAAGCCAGTCCGTTCAAAATGTGATACAAAGTTGGGAGGGTTACTTTAAAAATGTAATTAGTAACGTAATCCAAGTACCACAAAATAAAAGTAATGTAATCTGATTACTTTTCTCTATGTCATTCCTATGGCAGTGACAATGACAAAAAATATGTTTGGTAGGTATTCTTGATGATATTTAAGAGAGTGGAAAACCATTTTAAGATGTTGATGACTCATTCTGCACTTGTTGTATTAATTTAGCGTCTAATGAAAAGATTCTCAATATGACCCTGCTGAATAGTTTTTCTGGGGCCGGGCCCCACTGATTACTGTACAAAAACACAACTTTTTCACAGATTTTGGAGAAATTGGATCATTTTTGATGGAGTAATATTAGAAACATGGAGGAGAAAATTTTTCCTAGTTTTCTCTCTGATGTCTCTGGCTGCTCTGCCTCAACTCTGTGATTCATAGAGTTTTCTGGTGGACAGATCGCTTTATTTGTTGCTGTAGTTAGTTTACAGCTACTAGCTGCTGTTATTAGCTCAGTTTGCTTTGCAACCACTGGTCAAATTAGTTCTGCCTGTACTGGGAGGTCAGAGCATCTGGGGAGTGTTTACTCTACACTGTATGTGTGTTTACACCTTTACTCAAGCACTGGAGGTTTTCAGGACAGGGGCAGGGGACCCACCAGGGAGTGTAACCTCGCACAGCAGCTTCCCAGTAAACACAGCATCAACAGGACCGAATACAGCTACAAAGACAAAAGGGATGATGATGAGTTTCTTGATGGATAGCTTAACTTTTTGTTAATCTGCTAACTGTAGCCTATCTGTCTCTCTATCTGTGGCTGGTTAGCTCGGTCGGTTAGCCCCGGGGTGCCAAGAGCCAGACCTGGCAAGAAAACCACCTCGGTACTGTATTCCTATAGTCAAAGTGTTCGGTCCAGGTCCAGCAGCTGCCGTGTTCACTCGCTGATAGGTGGAACCAGTCCCTCGGCTCTACTAGCGAATGTAAACGTCAATCAATACCTGCAACACGTCCCTCGCTAGCTTTGGGTTTTTACAGAAGCACGTAGGGTGAATTGCCCTAATGTGGGACATATTGCGATGTGAACCCAATGTATTAAATCAACACCCAATACCATTTTAAAAACCTCAGGATGCGTCCTAATCAAATCAAAAGAGAAAATACAGATAACACATTCCTAAAGGAAATGACAGACATATTGGTGCAAATTCTTTGAGACCACTGGCGACTACCTAAGGTGGAACAGGTGTGTCCCTAATGTGGGACACTGAAAGTATATTGTAAAAAATAACCTTTATTCATGTAAAATATATATATAAAAAAATTAAGTTAGTAACTGGCTTAGTTATGGATGAATGAAACATTAATAACTGAACATCAACTAATAATATATATATAATATAGTTTTGATGCAATTATGACAAAGACATTAAGCAACTGTTGACACAGGCCTTATGTTTTGCAGATAGAAAAGAGTTAAATGCACAATCAGAATTCCTGACTCTAATTTATTTTACTTCACAACAAACACAAACAATGCCTTTTATCCTGCCTTTTCACTCATCCTTTCCCTAATTCTGCATCTCACTCTGCATCTGAAAATCTCTCTCTGCTTTGCCATTGTGATTTGAAATACATTTAAATGAATTAATCATTAGATGCATAAAAGTAAGTGTATTGGTTTTATTGTTTTTTAAATTAAGAGCTATTTTTTCATTTAAAGACATCTACTCCCTTCATACACACACACACACACACACACACACACACACACACACACACACACAACCAAAAGCCTTCAAACCACCATCCCCCAAAGAATAACAATTTCCCATCATGACCTTAAACATGCAGTACAGCATTCTAAGACCACTAAAACCCTGTAAAAAACATTTTTGTCCCATAACCCACTACACTTTTTTGTAGGGTGACTTAATTACTGTCAGTCATTGCATAATGAACTTGATAATAATTTAACAAAATGTGCAAATCTTAAAAGCTTATTTGTCTTGAACTGTGGTGTTAGACATATGGCACTCCTGGAGTGCAGGCCTCACGGGACCTCAGAGAAGCCTACAGGTCTTACACTTGATATTTGAACATGATAATAAAACAATCAAAAATTACTGTGTGTGTGTCAGACACATACTTAAATTCAAATAAAATGCAGCTAAATATTTCCATTGTTGTTAAAACTAACCCAGACTCTTGTAGCTGAAGTAGCTTACCTTACAGCTAAAACACTAACAACTTGCATGAAAGATATCTACATAGAGACACAATAAATGTGATTTAAGTTTGATGAGTTTAGCTACAAAGCAGGCAATGCTATAACAAAAAATAAATAGCTGTTCTGCTACAGGGTGTTACTTTTTCCCATGTGGAATAAGGACTAAACTGAAGGTGTGCAGAGTGAATCAGGTGATTCGTATCTTGTTCCTGATTGGAGAAACTGACCGTGTTACAACTATCCCAGTCTCTCCTACTTATAATCATCTTTTTGACACTGCTGCATGTGGCCTTTGTTGCATTTGTATTACTTATTTAATTGATACAGCTGGATTACGATAGTCTTTTCATAAAGTATATATATTTTAGTTGAAATCTACAAGTACTAATTTTGATTGAACTGATGAAACTTGATTGACTTGAAACTTTTTTTGAAATGCAGTGGTTAATTACTAGTCAACAAACGCAGTGGGAGCATTTTCAGTGTTTCTCTCACATTATTATTATTATTTTTGTTTTTACTTTAGTGCCTTTATCAGCTCGAGGTGTTGTAGGAGACAGTGGTTTCCTTAAACCTTTTCTCTTTCCAAGAGGCCACGCATTGCAGCTAATATGATGCGTGATGAGACACACTTACATTATATTGATCCTATTGATCCCGTTAAAGCAGTGAAAAGTGTGGGAAACAAGGGAAAAGTGACTCAATGAGACAAAAGATCAAGACATCTGTCCAGAAGAGACAGAGGTCAATGAAAACCTACTCATCTGTTTCAGAATGAATATTACATAAGGGGATGTATGGCAATGTGATCAAAACAAAGTTTAAATAAATTTCTGGTTTGGAGGCAGCATGCATGCATTACACTTAAAATAAAAAAATCAAAAAAAGTGTTGTAGTGTACATATTCATAATGTTTTGAATCTCTGGAGCATCTGACATCGCCACCCAAGGTTAATTAAAGATTCAAGGAAACTTAAAACTTTTAGTTGACTTTGCTCTTTGTTTCTGCAGCTCAGAAAGCCTCTGGTGGAGAAGTTACGCAGAGAAAGAATCAACAGCCGCATTGAGCAGCTCAAGTCTCTCCTGGGTCCAGAGTTCCTCAGACAGCAGCCAGACTCCAAGCTGGAGAAAGCAGACATCCTGGAGATGACAGTTTGTGTCCTGAGACGACTGCAGCAGCAGCATCAAGCTGTGGACTCAGCAGCTGTCGATCAGGGCTACTCCAGGTGTGTCCAAGAGGTGGACCACTTCCTGTCCACAGAGGAGGTTGAGACACAGTCCCAGAGAAGACTTGTGAACCACTTCAACAAGCTGCAGTCTTCCTCTGATAAGAAGCCGAGAGAGACTGACTTCTCTTTTCTGAGCTCCACAGTCCAGACCAGCATCACCAAAGAAGAGTCTGGCCAGGAGCGCCCCCTGGAGGCCGTGGTAGACACCTACAGACTGGAGTTAGTACCAGACAAACTGAGATGACCACATTGGTCAAAGATTGCAGAACTGAATTCTTTGATTTTTTAATGATTTTTTCTTCTGTATGTACAGAAGCAGCATTTTTTTTTCTTTTTGCAAGATGACATTTCCTAAGAAAATGACAGCGACAATATTTTTCAAGTATAGAAAGAGAACATCTTGTCATGCATTTTGCATGAACCAAATCGGGTATATTTGGATTTAGACACATGCCTAGATTTCTTTCAAAAGATGGAGTGTGGGAAAACTCTGGAGAGCAGAGTTTAGCATGATTAGCAGGCTCAACCCCACCAGCAGCAGACTGTTCTCCAAAGGGATTTGGCACACTTCAGGAAACAGCTGCCCCAACCCCCCATCCTCATTCTGAAGGTTTTACACAGTTGCTGATACAAAGGCAAAAATATGATTAGAGGATAAAAAATGCACGACAATGAACGGAAGTTGATAAAATCACTTTCCAAATCAATTGAGCTGATTCTTTACAATGAAATTGTACTGTACGCCAATGGTGTTCTTTCCCTCCAGATGGTTGGTGACGTCAGGCTCTGGTTCTACTTCAAAGCACGTCCAATATCGGTCACAAAAGCTCCATTTAAAGTCCTTTTGTTGTTCATTGACCACAGCATTCAGGGAGTCAGTGTGGGAAACTGAGACCAACTTTCTACCCACACTGACTACAAGGCACAAGCCAGAAGAATGTGCAACATCTGGACAGCAGAATGATCGTCGTTCTCAAGTTTTTTTGAATATCTTTTAAATACGTCATGGAAATAATGCGTAATATCTGATAAAAGTGATGTTCAACAAAACAAAAGGTTGAATTTTAAGAAAAGAAAAAAATCTGATTGAATTATCAGACAAAATGAAAGAAAATTGCATTAATCGCATTTGCTAGAGTTTAGGTTGTGGTTAAAATACAGCATTTAATGCTAAATTTAAATAAATGACAAAAAAAATGCTATGTGTCAAGTAGGCTATGAAGTCTTTACCCTAGATGCAATTAACTGTCAGTCACCCACGTGTGTGATGAGATGATCAGTGTGTGCTCAGTCAAAGTCATTGATCCCAGCATCAGGCAGCAGATCTGCTCTCTCTACAGGGTCACCACTTTCCCAGAATCACACAGAGTCTCCCTCCATCTCCCCCCAGTCCTCCACCTGTTCCCCTGAGATCTAACCATTGTCCCCCAGGCAATAACAGCATTCAGCGTGCTGCATCCCTTGTTGTCTTACTGACCTCTCTGATTGGCTGAAACTGTGAGAAACTCCAGCCAGACCAGGACCCACACATTCATATGGAGATGTGGGACTATAAATAGGAGGGATGAAGCCAGCAGAGATCAGATTCTCTCAACAGAGACCTCTACAGCATAGAGATCCAGCCATGGCACCTACAATCACTGCAGCAATGACCGGTTCTCAGGAGCACCTGACTCTGACCCACAAGGTAAACTGAAGATTCATGGAGACTAAATGTAATTCATGAGAGTCTGTTTTTGTTCATGCTAACATTATACTGCAGAACAAGTGTATTAATGACTTTGTTCTTCTTTCTGCAACTCAGAAAGCCTCTGGTGGAGAAGTTACGCAGAGAGCGAATCAACAGCAGCATTGAGCAGCTCAAGTCTCTCCTGGGTCCAGAGTTCCTCAAACAGCAGCCAGACTCCAAGCTGGAGAAAGCAGACATCCTGGAGATGACAGTTTGTGTCCTGAGATGACTGCAGCAGCAGAATCAAGCTGTGGACTCAGCAGCTGTCGATCATGGCTACTCCAGGTGTGTCCGAGAGGTGGACCACTTCCTGTCCAGGGAACAGGTGAAGACACAGTCCCAGAGAAGACTTGTGAACCACTTCAACAAGCTGCAGTCTTCCTCTGATAAGACGCTGAGAGAGGCAGACTTCTCTCTTCTGAGCTCCACAGTCCAGACCAGCATTATCAAAGAGAAGAGTCTGGCCAGGAGCGCCCCCTGGAGGCCGTGGTAGACACCTACAGACTGGAGTTAGTACCAGACAAACTGAGATGACCACATTGGTCAAAGATTACTGAACTGAATTCTTTGAATTTTTTTTAGATTTGTTCTTCTGTATGTACAGAAGCAGCATTTTTCTGTTTTTTCTTTGTGCATGATGACGTTTCCTAAGGAAATGACAGCGACAATATCTTTCAAGTTTAGAAAGAGAACGACTTGTCATGCATTTTGCATGAACCAAATCTGATTGCATCAACAATTATTATTATACTTCACTGTACATCATGTATTGGTAGTAATTAATGCCATGGTATTATGACATATTGTCATAACGGACTTTATTTCACTTAAATCTCTCTGATAACTCAAAACTGATCTCTTCTAAGATCCAAATGTTGATCCATCCATCCGACCATCGTAAACCGCTTATCCTGCATACAGGGTCGCGGGCAGCTGGGGCCAATCCCAGCTGACATCGGGTGAAAGGCGGGGTACACCCTGGACAAGTCGCCAGTTCGAAATGTTGATCCTTTTTTCAAAAAAATTTGCTTGAGGTCATAATTTTGCTGTGATACTTTTATGCTCCACTGTGTCGTGTGTTGGTATAATATAATGCAATGGTGATATTTGTTACATCTTGAAAGGTACTGATGATTTTAAATTGATCCAAAATTTTAACTGTCCTTTTGGTGGACATAATGGACTTTCCCTTACTTTATGTGATTATTGATGAACGATCTGTTTTAAGATCAATATGTTTATCCTTTTATTGTTAAAGGCTTGTTCAATCTCACAGTGCCACAGTTTTCCAGTGGCAATGTAATTTTATACATTTTGAGAATCAGTTAAGTTCATTTTTTATTAAGAACAATGTGACCTGTTGTAAGGTCAGATTATTACTATTTTTGTCTTTTGTTCACTAAATGCAACAATTTGAATCCTGTTGGGAGAAAAATCTCAAAGGACAGTGAGTACTGTGTCCTCAAATATTGTAAATCATTGTCTTTTATAAAGACAGCTGTTCCTTTACTCTCTCTGAGTACAGTGTGTCATGTAGAAAACTACAAGTTGTTGTTGTGATGTATCATCACCTCTAGTTGAAGTTTTCTCACTTCCTGTGGCTCATTGTGCCTTGTTGAATAAACAAACACTGCCAGCTGCAAATTTTGTGTTCTCATGTTTTTGTGTCTCATTGTTACCTTCTTCATACTGATAAAAGAAAGACGTTGTAAAGTAATTTCAAATGAATTAAATCAATATTCCAACCTTGAATTGCAAAATTTTAAGATTAAATTCAATACAAATTACATTTACTGGACGCTTTTATCCAAAGCGACTTACAATTGCTATACATGTCAGAGGTCGCACGCCTCTGGAGCAACTAGAGGTTAAGTGTCTTTCTCAGGGACACAATGGTGGATGTCTCACAGTGGGAATCCAACCCAGGTCTCCCACACCAAAGGCAAGCATCTTATCTATGCGCCATCACCACCCCCTGTTAATTAACAAACAAATTAATTGTTATAAGTTACCTAAACAGCAAATTATGACCCAATTCCATCAAGATGTTTCTGATATGCAGTAAGTCAAGTCATCAAACCATATGAGAACATTTTCCAACTCAAAGAAAATTTTGCTGCAGCATCATTTTTGTATTCTCAGTTTCAGGTGTTTAAATGTAAAAAGATGAAAATATGTCCGTCTTTAAATAGTTCAGACATTGTATTTAATGAGATGCAATATAAGACACACTTCTATTGTTCCTGCAGTGAAAGCAGTGAAAGCACAGAGTGTGGGAAACCAGAGGAACCTCACTCACATGGTCCTGTGGGACAATAGATCCAGACCTTTGCCCTGAAGAGATTAAAAGGGGCGCAGGCTAAGAAGTTGCAAATTTTGGAGCCAGTTTCAAATCATAGACTCTGCTCTTTTTTCAAGTGATGAAAATCAACATCACCAGTTTCACATATGTTATTTTCTGAAGTTGCAGCTTTGAAAAGTCATTGTATGAGTTTCCGTCAGTTCAGTTAAATGTGATAGTGGATTGTTACTTATAACTTATAATGTATGATATTTGTTTGTTTAATTGAATTAAAAATTCAGGATTAGAACCATACGATTTTCTGAATTAACAAAATTATACTAGAAAAAGGGAACATTGTTTAATATTGATAACACAAAGGTCAGTCCTTTTATAAGAGTAAATATGAACCAAGCCAAAAGTCACATGGTGACTTTAGTTTGTTACATTTTATGTTGTTTTTTTAATGGAAGTGAACTTGTTCTACAGTTGAAGAAACATAAGCAGATTCTAATTTTATTCACTTAAGCACACATATCATGAGGGAAGAGTTAAAAGAGTTAATTATCCATTCTGAGCTCAATAGAACTATCTGTTGCTGTTCTGAAACTGGTGCTGGAAAATACACGGGTCCATGCGTTCCCCGATGAGCTAATCATCTGGCAGACAATGACGCTTTTGTACAGTACTGGTAATTTTTCCTGTGGTTTCCATTACACCTGATATTGACTTTATGTATTCTTAAATTAAATCTGGTTGAACTTTTCAGTGTAAAAACAAAGCAAAGACAATTAATGACCTCCATGTGTGAAAAACAGAATCCTAAACGCATTCCTAAGGTTGTGTGGGAAAACTCTGGAGAGCAGAGTTTAGCATGATTAGCACCCTCAACCTCACCAGCAGCAGACTTTTCATCAAAGAGATTTGGCACACTTCAGGAAACAGCTGCCTCAACCTCCCTCATTCTGAGGTTTTATCCAGTTGCTGATACAAAGACACAAATATAATTGGACGGTCAACATGTACAACAATGATTGGAAGCTGACTAAATCATTTTCGAAATCAATTGAGCTGATTCTTTATGATGAAATGTCCATAATAATTTTACGCCGTACAAACTGTCAGAACCAGCCAATGGTGTTCTTTCCCTCCAGATGGTTGGTGACGTCAGGCTCTTGTTCTACTTCAACACACTTCCAGTATCAGTCACAAAAGCTCCATTCAAAGTCCTTCTGTTGTTCATTGACCACAGCATTCAGAGAGTTAGTGTGGGAAACTGAAACCAACTTTCTACCCACACTGACAACAAGGCACAAGCCAGAAGACATCTGGAGATCAGAATGATCGTTGTTCTCAAGTTTTTTAGAATATCTTTTAAATACATCATGGGCATAATACTCTTGTTAGCAAATTTTAATGATTTACCTAAATACAGCATTTTCACCAAAACAAAAGGTCCAATTGTAAGAAATGAAAATTGACTGAATTTTCAGACAAAATGAAGAAAATTGTCATTATTTGGACTTTAGGTTGTGGCCAAAACAGCATTTAGATTTTAAAAATTCAGAAATACTTTAATTTAGCTATATGGAACATACAAGTCCTTTTTTCACCATAGAAGCTAAACTGTCAGTGTCAATAATATCTGAGAAAAGTGATTTTCTAAAATAAAGTATGTTCAATAAAATAAAAGGTTGAATTTTAAGAATGAAAGACAAAATGGAGGACAATTGCATTAATTGCACTTGCTAGAGTTTGCTAGAGGTTGTGGCTCAAATACAGCATTATAGCTAAATTTAAATAAATGACAAAAAAAATGCTATGTGTCAAGTAGGCTATGAAGTCTTTACCCTAGATGCAATTAACTGTCAGTGTCCCACGTGTGTGATGAGATGATCAGTGTGTGCTCAGTCAAAGTCATTGATCCCAGCATCAGGCAGCAGATCTGCTCTCTCTACAGGGTCACCACTTTCCCAGAATCACACAGAGTCTCCCTCCATCTCCCCCTAGTCCTCCACCTGTTCCCCTGAGATCTAACCATTGTCCCCCAGGCAATAACAGCATTCAGCGTGCTGCATCCCTTGTTGTCTTACTGACCTCTCTGATTGGTTGAAACTGTGAGAAACTCCAGCCAGACCAGGACCCACACATTCATATGGAGATGTGGGACTATAAATAGGAGGGATGAAGCCAGCAGAGATCAGATTCTCTCAACAGAGACCTCTACAGCACAGAGATCCAACCATGGCACCTACAATCACTGCAGCAATGACCGATTCTCAGGAGCACCTGACTCTGACCCACAAGGTAAACTGAAGATTCAAGGAGACTAAACATTATTCATGAGAGACTGTTTTTGTTCATGCTAACATTATACTGCAGAACAAGTGTATTAATGACTTTGTTCTTCTTTCTGCAGCTCAGAAAGCCTCTGGTGGAGAAGTTACGCAGAGAAAGAATCAACGGCAGCACTGAGCAGCTCAAGTCTCTCCTGGGTCCAGAGTTCCTCAAACAGCAGCCAGACTCCAAGCTGGAGAAAGCAGACATCCTGGAGATGACAGTTTGTGTCCTGAGACGACTGCAGCAGCAGAATCAAGCTGTGGACTCAGCAGCTGTCGATCAGGGCTACTCCAGGTGTGTCCAAGAGGTGGACCACTTCCTGTCCAAAGAGGAGGGGGAGACACAGTCCCAGAGAAGACTTGTGAACCACTTCAACAAGCTGCAGTCTTCCTCTGATAAGACGCTGAGAGAGGCTGACTTCTCTCTTCTGAGCTACACAGTCCAGACCAGCATCACCAAAGAGAAGAGTCTGGCCAGGAGCGCCCCCTGGAGGCCGTGGTAGACACCTACAGACTGGAGTTGGTACCAGACAAACTGAGATGACCACATTGGTCAAAGATTACTGAACTGAATTCCTTGAATTCTTTTAGATTTGTTCTTCTGTATGTACAGAATCTGCATTCTGTGTTCTTTCTTTGTGCACAATGACGTTTCCTAAGGAAATGACAGCGACAATATCTTTCAAGTTTAGAAAGAGAACGACTTATCATGCATTTTGCATGAACCAAATCTGATTGCATCAACAATTATTATTATACTTCACTGTACATCATGAATTGGTAGTAATTAATGCTCTGGAAACATATTTTATGTTTGATTGGTATTGATCAACTTGATCAGAAAACTTGAACTGTCTTTTTTATGGACATATTGTTATAACAGACTTTACTTCACTTAAATCTTTTTATAAGACAAAACTGATCTGTTGTGAGATTCAAAGGTTTATCATTTAAAAAAAAAGATTTGCTTAAAGTCACAATTTTCCTGTGATACTTTAATGCTCCACTGTGTCATGTGTTGGTATAATATAAAGCAATGGTGATATTTGTTACATGTTGAAGCTATTGATGATTTGGAATTGATCCAAAATCTGTCCTTTTGATGGACATTTTGTCATATTGGACTGTCCTATATTTTTGCAAATTATTAACAAATGATCTGTATTAAGATCAATATGTTTATCCTTTTATGGTAAAGGGTCTGTTTCACTTCACACTGTCACAGTTTTTAAGTGACAATATAATCTTTATATCTTGAGAATCAGTTGAAGTTAAATGTTATTGAGAACTATGTGATCTGTTGTAAGATCAGCTTTTACTACTTTCTCTTTTGTTCACTAAGTGAAAATGTTTGAATCCATTTGGGAAAGAATTCTCAAAGGACAGTGAGTACTGTGTCCTCAAATATTGTAAATCATTGTCTTTTATAAAGACAGCTGTTCCTTTACTCTCTCTGAGTACAGTGTGTCTTGTAGAAATCTACAAGTTGTTGTTGTGATGTATCATCACCTGTAGTTGGAGTTTTCTCACTTCATGTGGCTCATCGTGCGTTGTTGAATAAATAAACACTGCCAAATGAAATGTTTCTGTTCTCATGTCATCGTTTTTTATTTTAACTTAATTGATAGAGGTCTCCATCAATGTTCCTACCGTTGATTGACAAATTAGGATGCCATTCAGCATAATTTATCTTTGACAAACCATTTTAGTGTAAATCTAAGCAGAGTAATGTGGTTCAATAAATCTTTTTGATGAAGGGGAAATATCAGTGTAACATAACTTCATTCATACGGATCAAGTTAAATATAATAGGAATTGAGAACAATTATTTTCTACAGATATTTTCATTGAATTACATCAATGTTCCAACCTTGAATGTAAAATTATTCAAATTAAATTCAGCACACACTTTCATTGTGTTTGATAACTCATGTAAGCATAGAAAATTATGACACAGTTACATGAAGATGTTTGATGAAAGGGCTTTATCAATTTTATGTCACTAAATTTAAATGCAGTAGGTCAAGCCTTCAAACCCGATAGAGCAGATGTATATCACAAATTATATCTGTTTAAACTGTCAGTTTCAGGTGTTTCAATGTAAAAAGTCTCAAGTTAAGGGCGTCACTTTGTGATGAAAAGTGGTGGGGACACAGGGGCTCAGATTCGGGGTGTGAAGAGACACTTACCTCGTGAGACATCATGATAAGCAATATTAGGTTCACGAGAATGAGACGAAAAGATCCTTAAAAAGTGTTTTAAAGATATTCTCAATGCTGAGATATATGAGCCTGGAGTATGGGGGACATCCCCCAGGAAATTTTGATCATTAAACTCTTCATTTCCTGCATTCTGGTGAATGTTTCTGCACACTGCAAAACCCAAGCTCTCAAAAACAAGAAAAAAAAGCATTAAAATAGGGGAAATATTACTTAAAATAAGTAAAATTATCTGCCAACAGAACAAGAATATTTCACTTGCTACTTAAGGCCAAAAAAGCTCGAAACAGGTGAAATTCTCTCACATGAAAGCCGCCTGGTAAGAAGACATATCTTGTTAGACAAAAAACAAGTATATTTTGCCTTCAATTAAGATAATTAATCTTGCTAAGATTTTAGTTTTTGCAATGCACCAATTTATGGTGGAAATGTTTTTATTTATGTAAAAGGAAACACAAAATTCTGGTGGCTGGTGACATTTCAAAATATTTAAATATAACAGAATATAAGTCAGTGCAGCTCTCAGGCATTCTGTGTTGCTTTCAGATCTGTTTCTCCTGTAGATCAACTTAATATCATCCCTGCTGAGGCAACACATATGTAGGCATGATTTCACCCCTCTTTTGTCATGTTCAAAGGGAGAGAACTGAATACTTGGCCAAAATGAAACTGTGTCAAGGAGTTGTTAAAGTTACTGATTGTTGCATATACGTTTTTGGGTCATTTTATAATCAGTAGCTTGTTTTTTTTTAGCTTAAGTTCCTTTTTTGGTCAATGCACATTTATTTCTTCTATAATGTAATTGCATTGCATGTTTTCTTGATGTGCAAATAAACCTTTCTAAAGGCATTTTCATTTGTTATTTAACTGCAAGTAATATATTCAGAACGTTTTTTAACAAATTATGTGTTTAAAAAAATGGTGGGGACAAAATCAGCCATTTCAAAAAGTGGTGGGGACATGTCCCCAGCGTCCCCATTGTAAATGACACCTATGTCTCAAGTTATCCATTTTACACCTTCAAACAGGTCAGACATTGTATTTAATGATGTGCATACTATGACACACTTCTATTGTTCCTGCAGTGAAAGCAGTGAAAGGACAGAGTGTGGGAAACCAGAGGAACCTCACTCACAGAGCCTTGTGGGACAATAGATCCAGACCTTTTGCCTCAAGAGATTAAAAGGGACACAGGCTAAGAGGCTTTAATTTTTTGAGCCAGTTTCCAACCATAGACTCTGCTCTTTTTTTCCATTGTGAAAATTTATTGAAGTTGCAGTTTTGAAAAGTCATAATGTACGTTTCTGTTAGTTAGGTTAAATGTGAAAGTGCATTTTTAATTAGAATTTATAATGTTGGATATTTAGATTGTTTAGTTTAAATAACATTTCAGAATAACAGACTTACAATATAATATTATTCAACTGAAAACAAGATGCTGAAAAAATAACTCTGTTCAGTATTGATACCACACAGGTCAGTGTTTTCATCTGACTAAATATGAACACAGTCAATAGTCACATGTTGCCCACAGTGTGTATTGGTTAATATTTACAATAACATTTTTTAAAAACGCTTTGGTGATTTCTCCTCTCATTTTCTATTTAACCCAATGTTGACTTTATTAACATATTTTACAACATCTTGATGAGTTTGAACTGTAAAAGAGAAAAAGACAATAAATTGCATCCATGTGTGAATAATATAATCCTGAAGTGTCCATTTAGACTTTGGTACATGTCTAAATTTCATTGAATGGACGGAGTGTGGAAAAACTCTGGAGAGCAGAGTTTAGCATGATTAGCATCCTCAACTCCACCAGCAGCAGCAGACTATTCCCAAAAAGGGATTTGGCACACTTCAGGAAACAGCTGCCTCAACCTCCCATCCTCATCTATAGAGCTGAAGGTTTTATCCAGTTGCGGATACAAAGGCACAAATATGATTGGACGGTCAAAATGTATGACTATGATTGGAAGATTTTTCCAAATAAATTGAGCTGATTCCTTAAAATGAAATTTCTGTGATCATTTGAAACTTTACAAACTGTCAGAACCAGCCAATGACGTCCTTTCCCTCCAGATGCTTGGTGACGTCAGGCTCTGTTTCTACTTCAACACACGTCCAGTATCAGTCACAAAAGCTCCATTCAAAGTCCTTTTGTTGTTCATTGACCACAGCATTCAGGGAGTCAGTGTGGGAAACTGAGACCAACTTTCTACTCACACTGACTACAAGGCAGAAGCCAGAAGACTGTGCAACATCTGGACATCAGAATGAGCGACAGTTTTTTAGAATATATTTTAAATACATCATGGGAATAACACGCGTAATATCTGATAAAAGTGATGTTCAACAAAACAAAAGGTTGAATTTTAAGAATGAAAAATCTGATTGAATTATCAAGATAAAATGAAGGAAAACTGCATTAATCGCACTTGCTAGAGTTTAGGTTGTGGTTAAAATACAGCATTATAGCTAAATTGAAATAAATGACAAAAAAAATGCTATGTGTCAAGTAGGCTATGAAGTCTTTACCCTAGATGCAATTAACTGTCAGTGTCCCACGTGTGTGAGATGATCAGTGTGTGCTCAGTCAAAGTCATTGATCCCAGCATCAGGCAGCAGATCTGCTCTCTCTACAGGGTCACCACTTTCCCAGAATCACACAGAGTCTCCCTCCATCTCCCCCCAGTCCTCCACCTGTTCCCCTGAGATCTAACCATTGTCCCCCAGGCAATAACAGCATTCAGCGTGCTGCATCCCTTGTTGTCTTACTGACCTCTCTGATTGGTTGAAACTGTGAGAAACTCCAGCCAGACCAGGACCCACACATTCATATGGAGATGTGGGACTATAAATAGGAGGGATGAAGCCAGCAGAGATCAGATTCTCTCAACAGAGACCTCTACAGCACAGAGATCCAGCCATGGCACCTACAATCACTGCAGCAATGACCGGTTCTCAGGAGCATCTGACTCTGACCCACAAGGTAAACTGAAGATTCAAGGAGACTAAACATTATTCATGAGAGACTGTTTTTGTTCATGCTAACATTATACTGCAGAACAAGTGTATTAATGACTTTGTTCTTCTTTCTGCAGCTCAGAAAGCCTCTGGTGGAGAAGTTACGCAGAGAAAGAATCAACAGCAGCATTGAGCAGCTCAAGTCTCTCCTGGGTCCAGAGTTCCTCAAACAGCAGCCAGACTCCAAGCTGGAGAAAGCAGACATCCTGGAGATGACAGTTTGTGTCCTGAGACGACTGCAGCAGCAGAATCAAGCTGTGGACTCAGCAGCTGTCGATCAGGGCTACTCCAGGTGTGTCCAAGAGGTGGACCACGTCCTGTCTAAAGAGGAGGTGGAGACACAGTCCCAGAGAAGAATTGTGAACCACTTCAACAAGCTGCAGTCTTCCTCTGATAAGAAGCAGAGAGAGGCTGACTTCTCTCTTCTGAGCTCCACAGTCCAGACCAGCATCACCAAAGAGAAGAGTCTGGCCAGGAGCGCCCCCTGGAGGCCGTGGTAGACACCTACAGACTGGAGTTAGTACCAGACAAACTGAGATGACCACATTGGTCAAAGATTACTGAACTGAATTCTTTGAATTCTTTTAGATTTGTTCTTCTGTATGTACAGAATCTGCATTTTGTGTTTTTTCTTTGCGGAATATGACATTTTCTAAGGAAATGACAGCATCAATATCTTTCAAGTTTAGAAAGAGAAACATCTTGTCATGCATTTTGCATGAACCAAATCTGATTGCATCAACAATTATTATTATACTTCACTGTACTTCCTGTGTTGGTAGTAATTAAGGTTGAAACATATATTATGTTTTGATTGGGACTGATCATATTGTTCAGAAAACTTTGACTGTCCTTTTATAGACATATTGTCATAACAGACTTTACTTCACTTAAATCTTTTGACAACACAAACTAATCTGTTGTGAGATCCAAAGGTTTATCATTTAAAAAAACAAAGGTTTGCTTGAGTGTACAATTTACCTGTGATACTTTAATGCTCCACTGTGTCATGTGTTGGTATAATATAAAGCAATGGTGATATTTGTTACATCTTGAAAGGTATTAATGATTTGGAATTGATCCAAAATCTTAACTGTCCTTTTGATGGACATTTTCTCATATTGGACTTACTTATTTATGTGATTATTACAAATGACCTGTATTAAGATCAATATGTTTATCCTTTTATGGTAAAGGGTCTGTTTCACTTCACACTGTCACAGTTTATAAGTGACAATATAATCTTTACATCTTGAGAATCAGTTGAAGTTAAATGTTATTAAGAACTGTGTGATCTGTTGTAAGATCAGCTTTCAGTACTTTCTCTTT